TAAGATTAAATCATTATGGGATTGGACATTATAGGATTTGTTTAAAACGTATAAGTGATACGAAAAGTTTGTTTTGATTATTGGTCCTTAAACGGCTGAGTTTATACTTTATAGTGCAGTACTTGTAAGCAGGCAGAAATTGTCACTGGTATGCCCCTGTAGGACTAGTCTGGTTGGCTGCCTCTATTTTACTCTATCTGGGACTATGGACAACACATCCATGTAGAGAAACCTTTGTTTATGAATTTTTTCACGTTCTTTATTACTCTTTCCCTAACTATAAGCTGTTAACTTGATCTTTCCGATCATTGATCCTCGATTCCTAAAATATAGAGACAAAGCTGTGCCGGAATAAACATTTCGACCCTTGTTCTTCACCAACAAAATACTTAATATGTCATTACCCGCTGCATCCTAACCTAATATCATTGAATTTACAGTTAATTTTACCAATGTTACATTACTACCCCGTCACAACACAACAATGCAGATAATATCGAGACACAGAAATGACAATTCTAGTTTACCAACAAATCACGTCTGGTACACCCCCGGTACTTGCTTCAATTCGAGGGTATTATCGTGTGTAACATATTTTTCATATCTCTCGATCAGTTCCCGGAATATTGTTAACTCGATTGATCACCTTAATATTTCACAATCTTCATTATATTGGATAATGATGAGGAATAAGTTGTCCCCCACCGTGTATCTTTGAAGGGGTAAGCGTGTGTGTGTGTGTGTGTGTGTGTGTGTGTGTGTGTGTGTGTGTGTGTGTGTGTGTGTGTGTGTGTGTGTGTGTGTGTGTGTGTGTGTGTGTGTGTGTGTGTGTGTGTGTGTGTGTGTGTGTGTGTGTGTGTGTGTGTGTGTGTGTGTGTGTGTGTGTGTGTGTGTGTGTGTGTGTGTGTGTGTGTGTGTGTGTGTGTGTGTGTGTGTGTGTGTGTGTGTGTGTGTGTGTGTGTGTGTATTGTGTGTTTCTTTTGTGTATACGAGTATCCTTAACTCTTTAACTTGATGTTGTTTATCACAATAATTAGTTTGTTCTCAATCTGTGATTAGTTGTTAGCAACATCTATATTCGTTATATTTTAATCTTTATTTGTAGCTAATGATGTACAACATGAATGTTTTTGTAATATTTATTGCATTTTTTGCCAGTCTGGTAACTTAAATATTCGATGATCTACAGAAATATGACTGATCTTAAAGCAGCATCGCGCTGTTTTATTTGGTATCGCATTCTACCAACATGGGTACCTACTCTAAACTCGTTTGTATATTTGGGACCTCTCGTTATTAGGGTAGTGTTTTATATCAACAGTTTTTTTTGTTTTTTTTTAAACAGTGGAATTTTAATAATATCCATTGACAAAACACGAGTTTTTAAGATTAAGATATGTAGGTAAACAAGTTGTGGTGCCGTCACAAGTTTCCCTCTACATTTTGTTAACTATGTTATTTTGACTAATTAGATCGTGGTAGCGTCTGGGTGGCTAAATGTAATTTGCACCATAATTATAAAGTTTCTGCAAGATAATATCGGAAAACTTTGTCGGTCCTTCAAATCATTGATCTCGAGCAGAATTAATTCAATTATGATATAAAGCAGATCGAGGTCTCCGCAATTTATCGAGGACCGGAATTTTTCAAATAACTCCACAACTCAAAAGCTTTTAACTTTCGTCTGATTTGGAGATTCGAATATTTCAGACCACGCCCATTCAATATTAAAACATTCATATTGTTGTCTCGGAACGCCTTAGTTTTTTAGAAACAGTAGATTATTAAATTTTGCATCTGATCTGAAAATATGATGTTAAACGAATTTAAAATAAATGAGTTATCAAGTATTTAGTTTATCTAGTTAGCTTGGTGCTACCTTCAATATTCCCAGGGGCAAAATCTGATATCACGTGCTTTTAGCGTGAGAGAATTTTGGCGACAAACGAATAGTGAACCAAACTGTTGCAAAAGGAAAACTAAATTTAAAATATGCACACAATAATAAACAACAATAAATCTACAAATAATTCTAAATATGACCACCGTTCTTGTTTACCAACTTGCAGCGCCGTTTTACTGATCGGCACGCCCTAGCGAGGAACTCCACCGGAACAGTCTTCAATACGTCTTTATAATTCAGGGATGTCATGAGCAGTACCCTCCTTGTAGATTTGATCCTTAAGCCATCCCAGAAGAAGTAGTCTGGAGGTGTCATGTCAGGACTACGAGGTGGTCAAGGTTCAGCTAGTCCTTCGCCGATGGTTCTGTTATTAAATTTGAAGATATCCACTGTCTGGCAGGAAGATGAGGAAAAGCACCATCTTGCTGGAACCACCAGTTGTGAGTGTTGGAGTCTCCAGGCGGCAGGCGATGGGAAGATGTGGATAAGTTCTGAATTGTTTAAGGTGTATTCCATTAGGTTGGGGTAGAACTTGTGGTAGAGGACTCTTGAGTAACGTTGTCCATTTACAGTAACAGTCTGCCCATTCTGCTCGAAGAAGTATGGTCCAAAGAAGCGGTGCGAGCAGATTCCAATCCATATGGTGACCTTTGGAGAATGAAGGGGACGCTGATGTACTTCTGCAGGCTGTTCTGTCCCCCAGTGTACCGCATTGTGGCTGTTGATGGTTCCATTCAGTTTACAATGGGCCTCGTCAGACCATATTATGATGAGTTCTTTAAGGAAAGGGTCTGTCTGGCATTTCTGATCGAACCAGTGGGATTGTATTACCACAGATGGCAAGAGAAGACCTGGAAGTCTAAAATGTGAACTCCCTCTTTTCGATGCTATTCGATCCGTACCACACTAATCCCGAGCTGATCATCATGGCCCCCAAATATCCTGTCCCATATTAATTGGTAATTAGCTAATTGGTAATTATCCAACTAACTGATCATCTGACGTAAAATTTTACAAAATTTCTCCCTGATAAGATTGACACCTTCGATTACTCTGCAACCTTCTACGATGTTCATAACTAAAGATATTTGACAAACAATAAAGGTGGCTAATCATAGTGGCCTTAAGACACGTGGAAAAGTTTGGAAAAGTTATGAAAAGTTAGGAAAAGTTAGGAAAAGTTGGTTAGCCTTAAAGGCCTAAAGGGCATCTTATGCCAATGGGACTTAAAAACGTCAAAAATCCTAAAGAATCTTCTTGTGTCGATAGTTCGATTTTTGTATCGGTAGAATGATTTTTTAAGACGAATCTGTCTGTACTATCACCTTAATAACCCCAGAATGTGTGTGTGTGTGTGTGTGTGTGTGTGTGTGTGTGTGTGTGTGTGTGTGTGTGTGTGTGTGTGTGTGTGTGTGTGTGTGTGTGTGTGTGTGTGTGTGTCTGTCTGTGTGTAATTTCCGAACGGTTATACAAAAAAAACGGTAAGAGTTACGGGACTGGTTTTTTCGGTATAGTGCCGACAAAACTCTGATGAGTTTTCGGCCGGGATTTCACTGCCGCAGTTAAAAAGGGTAGGAGTAATTACCCGCTGAGTCAAAACCCGCATTAGGTGACCCAATAGTTTCTTAAACAATAATCTCATAATCAGTTATTTCTTGTGGATAATTAAGTCATTATTAGCCATGAGGCACCACATTCCATGATCATAAGGTCTGAACACCGAGTATTACACCTCATCACTCCCGTTTTGAACCGCTTTCTATTTAGATTTAAATCGTTATAGAAATTAACCCTTGTTAACTCCGCACCACACCCGCACATTATATTTGAAAACACGCATAACATTGTCGAATGAACTCTCTCTCTCTGCAGTCCAAACAGACCCCAAACACTAACAGTCCTCCTCCCCTAATAAGCTTATGGTATTACATTACAGCGAATCTTCCCGGGCTAACGCAATTATGACGCTACTTAAATGCAGCTACATATTATACATGAGTAGTGAGATATAGAGAGCAAGCCCCGTAACTCTTGCCTTTCTGCTCAAGCCATTTTATGCAACATTTGTGGTACAAAACCGTCAATTAAACCACTTACCACCGGCCGATTTAAAAAAAAAATTGCTTATGGGCTTCATCAGAGTTTTGTCGGCACTATACCGAAAAAACCAGTCCCGTAACTCTTACAGTCTTACCGTTTTTTTTGTATAACCGTTCGGAAATTACACACAGACATCAGACACACACACACACACACACACACACACATTCTGGTGTTATTAAGTTGATATTTGCAGCTCGAAAGTTGAAATTAAGATCGTTTTGTCACAATTACTTCTTGTCTTTTATAATGAACTAAAACACCCGTTGTAACAGTGATGAAGCTAGTATTATTATATATTCTTTGGTAGTCATTTTTTATCGCATCAAAAAATATCCGTTACAATCAGTGTCGTAACGGGGGGGGGGGGGGGGGGGGGGGGGGGGTGGGGGAAGGCACCTTAGGAGGGCGCAAAATCGTCGTTTGAATGTGGGACAATTTTGAAAAACTTAACTGAGGTTCTAGCAAAACTGCACGTTTTTCTCTAGACAGGCAACGTTACGCCACTGGTTACAACTCACAACCGAAGATGCAGCTGATGAAAATGTAACCGAAAATGTAACCGATCAAAATGGCGCTCGCACGTGATCAAAATGGCGCTTGCACGTGCGCAGGGGCATGACTAAATCGTGCCAGTTTAGAGTTAGAATTGATATAATTAAGAATTAAGATAAGAATCCCTGGGGCACGCGGAAAGTTCTGGGGCTGGCCGATGTGGCCCATATGAACCGAGAATATATTAGATTTCTGAGTTTCAAAACGAAAACAATATTATGAGGTCAATGGTATATTTTTATTCGCAAGAAAGGAATCTGTGTGAAAACGTTTTTCATTTTAGAGAGCTGTAACTTTGCAGATGGCATACGGTCGTAATTATTCAATCAGGGATTTTGTCGTAATTATTCAATCAGGGATTTTTCTAATTTTGATCGTTAAAAATTATTAAATAATTGTAATTATGATCATTAAACATTGTTAATGTATTTTCCTTTGTCAGACATGGCAAACATAATCAGTGACCCGATATGGAGAACTATACAAGAAAAAGTAGAAGAAGGAAACTTGACTGAATTGTTGGATGTTTACACTGTCAACAACTTGGACTACAATGCTAAAGGTGGATATAAAAAGAGTGCAGTACTTCATGAAACAGCAGAACAAGATAAACAAGAGATTGTAGGGTATCTAATAAAACACGGTGCTGATGTGAACACTACGGACAAGTTTGGGGAAACACCGTTACATGTAGCTGCAAGTGATAAGAGTGCAGTAGAGGTAGCTAAATTGCTGTTAGAACAGGGAGCGGAGGTGAACATTAAGGACTATGGTGGGGACACACCGTTACATGTAGCTGCACGTAAGAACAGAGTAGAGTTAGCTAAAGTGCTGTTAGAACAGGGAGCGGAGGTGAACACTAAGAACAGTAATGGGGAAACACCGTTATATTTAGCTGCAAGTAATAAGAGTGTAGAGGTAGTTAAATTGCTGTTAGAACACGGTGCTGATGTGAACACTAAGAGCAGTAATGGGAGCACACCGTTACATTATGCTATAGATCATAACAGAGTAGATGTAGCTAAATTGCTGTTAGAGCATGGAGCGGAGGTGAACATTAAGACCATGAGTAATGGGAGCACACCGTTACATGTAGCTGCACATAATAACAGTGTAGATGTAGCTAAATTGTTGGTACAACACGGTGCAGATATCAGTACTACAGATAAAGATAATGAGTCAGGTCTTCATAGCATGCAGAAGATATGGTCCAAAAATGACTTACAAGATACATTCCGTGCTCTTCCAAATGGCGTAAATTATTCTACTCCTGCTATTATCGTTCAGGAATTAGAAATAAGGGAAGAGTTTGATGATGATGTCAAAAGCATCTTAAGTAATATTCTGAAAGAAGCGATCGACAAATTGCCAGGTATTATGGATGATCCTGAGCAGAAATTTACGTTTTATGGAGGAGATCTATATATTCCCCTCGTTAAAGAATTCTTGAAACGGTCAGGCGGGTCAGGAGAGACGACTCTTCTACACACCATATACATTGCTCTTCAAGCAAAAACTCTATGTAATCAGCCCACAAGAGAAATGCTCGAGAATGGACTCGACTCCGAAATCTATATGAAATTTCGGAATAAAATTAAAGAATTGACAAAATATGACATAGTTAAAGGGAGACAACCAGAAGAACTTAATGTAATTGCTCAACAAATTTACGCAGAATACATGAAGGATAAAAAAGGATTTAGTTGTAAAGTTAAGAAATGCTGCAGCGAAGCATGGAGAAACACGCAAGATTACCTTAAACCCTCATTTCAACGAATGAAGTCGCGCTGTATGAAAATAAATTGTGGTCTGAAGTGTTGTTGTCGAAACGTTAACTGTTTATTTTGCCTGCCAAATCCCTCAGCAGTATACCACAGCTGTTCTGCAATAGGAATGATGGGGAGATTCTTTTGTCTCTTAGGAATTGTCGTATACATTTTAGACTTGTACACTGATTTAGTAGTTGGCATTTCAGATTTGAACGGATTTTCCAAAAAGCTAGGGATCTTTGAGATTGCTCTGGTGTCGTTCACTTTAATTCATGAAAACTACAGATCTGCTGAAAGTGTATACATAACGGAAAAAGAGGTTCTGAGGATAAAGTTTGGGAGATTCATGTTATCTGCCAAAGAATGGAGCGAATCAAACTTATACAGGAGCAAGAATAAGTCTGAAATGTTCTTTTACAGGCTATGTTGGCCGTTCAAGCTACAGGGAAGTTTTCTGAGTAAGCTAAAAGCGACAATCTACAACCTCCTGACATGTTTCCAATTAAGGCCAGTCGTGGATAGGTTGGTAATATTCCTACACGAACCAATAAGCTTGCGTGAGTATTACAGACGTCAAGCAGAACAGAATAGCTTGAAACAGTTTTACCTGATTTTGGAACAATTGCCGGAACTCCTGGTTCAGTTCTATACATTTCAAATAGTGATCAATAACCTTTCCCAAAGAGATATTGAACAGTTTGCCGGTGAATGTTACCACTATTTCGATTATCATTCGATGAATACAAACATCACCAACGACACAAACCTATTTTGTGAAAATCTCCCACTATCTGATACAGGATTGGGAACATGTGGCACTGTGTTTCGTATATTCTCAATGGCAATTCCATTTTTCAACATTCCCTCGGGAATTGCTTCTTTGGAAGATGGCTTTAGGAAATTGGACCCGCTGACTTCTCAAATGTCCACTTTTTCAAAGATCATTTTCCAAGCATCCTATACATTGATGGTACCAGCCAGGTTGTTCATGTTTGCAGCAGTAATGCATGCTTTGTTTATAAAGGAGTATGTGTTTGGGTTCATCATCTTCAGAGTGATAATGGAACTTTTGGTAAACCTTCATAGCTACAAAGCGAAGTTAGCGGAACTTTCCCTTTCAAAGCTATGGCGAAAAATTCTTTCAATCTTATGGCGAATGGTCCTGTTTAGTATCAGAGATGTGTTTCTAATATCGATAAGAAACCCTGATGCTTACCTCTCAAAACCCTCAGACGTTTCTTACAAGTCATTGAGAAAGAGGAAAAATCTAGCTGTCCGTGCAATCCCATTTATCTGCGAGGGTTTGGTCGCTGCTTTGATCATCGAACAAAGATATCCGTGCGGTAAGCATTTCAACTATTTCAAATATTTGGGCTGGTTTTGTATAATTCCTTTAGTGCTCTCGGTATCAGCAATAGTCATGGTTTCAGACCTTTTCCATCCATTAAAAGGAAGATCTTCGTCACTAGGAAAAGAAACACAAAAGCTCCTTCTCGCTGTTTTCATCAGTATTATGGGGACTTTCATTGTTAGTCAGAAAAGAGGGTCAGTGGAACTTCTGGTCATGGGTCTGGCAATTTTTCTTCATATCGTCCTTGTTGCTGGACTCTGTCTGTTTGTCAAGATGTCCAACAAAAGTAAAGAAAGTAAAGAAACTCCGTACACACCTTTAGCTACGTCAACCACATCAGTCGACCACCCTCAGTCGACTACACTAGTCTGATGAATTACCTTTTTGTCCATTTAATTCATCCTCGGCTTTCCAGAGCCATAAAAACTGTGTATTTAAAACTATTTGCTGAGCAAATATCAATTTATAGACTGTATCAGTCTTCTCAAAGCAATAACAATGAAGCAAAAATCATTTCATCAGCAAAATTTCCCGCTGTCTTTCCAAAATCATCTAAATGCTTTATTGAGTTGGATTTACGACACAGATAACTAGCAGCTGCAGGTGGACTTCTTAAATTCAACCTCGCAACAGCACATGTAAGTAAAATACATATTTCATTACATTTACATCATTTTCCTTCTTAAACTTATGAATTTAAAATACAGTGAAACCTCTATATAGTTATACCGGGCCTGTAGGAGTGTAGGGGGTGGGGGGGGGGGGGAAGAAAAGTGCACGATACAGAAAAAACCCGGTAAGTATGCATCGAAAACAACCTGTCAAGTGTCTCATCTTTAAAATTAGGGCTTTGTATGCATGTACATCGTGTTGTATCGCGATGGAACACAGAGTAGTTACTCAAATCGCCACCAAGTGCGATATGACTTAATATGATAAATACGATTTCTTGCACGATTTCTTGTTGACAGTATCAGGTAAGACGCAGTAAGATGCAGTTAGCACCGAGTGGAATGTGGGAACTGGGAACCTGTTCAAGTGTAATAAAAATTACATTGTTAAAAAATTATAATTCACAAGTTGCAAATTTTTCTCGTAAAACTCTGTCCTATTTCAAATATTCAAATGTGAAAAGGGTAAAGAAATAACGCTCACATGGTTTTTCATCATCATGAATTTCAGAACTAAACTGCAAACCGGGGTGTCTCCAGTCTTTCCAAATGATGTCCGCTCGCTCATACTAGTAGGCAGTGCGCCATCGACAATAAGACGCGCGCGCTGACTATTGAATGGTTTTTTTGCTCTTATTTCGGCCAGCACATTATTTTGGAAACAATCGAAAAGTTATTATACTTCCCATATAACAATTTTGTTGAAATTTGGTCAGCTTACGTAAACACTTATGTTCTACTGAACCTAATTTAGTTTGAGCAATTTCGATGCTCAGAGTTTGAGTTATCAACGAATTTATACCTATTTTGTCATTTTTAGACCTCTTAATCAAGGCCAATCTCTCCCAACTAAATTAGGTTCGGTAGTTAAGTATGATTGGAAGGTTCTGACAAATTTTCAGCATGATTTATGTTCAGGAACCGAAGATATGACAGAATAATACGACAAAAATCAACGAATTTCGTCAAATTACGCGACTTTTACACCTAATTTTGCTCCAAAAGCCGCGCACCATCAAATATGGCACCTAGGCGAAATTCACTGATCATTCCAAAAAGGTATGATAAATTTGCTACTGTGAAAATTCTCACAGTCTCTAGAAAACGATGGTACAAAAATTTTGAAAATCCGAGCAAGTTTATTTTTATCGTGCACCGCCTAATACTAGTGCTACCTTTGTCCTTTAACCTTCTAACTCTACACCAATATTCAGGTTTGTTGGTAACAGTTTTCAAACAACTTATAGTTTGAATTTAATTGGAAACAAGGTGTTTGTCAGTCTTTTCGCTGCACGATTTGAAAATAATTATCAAATGTAACTATTTGATCCAACAAAAATAACGCCCTTGTATTACTGATATTCGGGTTTGAGTAGTTTTTTTAAACAAATTTTTAAATTTCGTATTTAAAGAGAGACAAACTGTTTATGATTATCAACGTGACCGTAGAGTGGTTTAAATACAAATCAAAAATTCGAGCGTTATTAATTCAATCAAAATAACGCGAATAGAATGGGTTGAACGAACCAAACACATTATGTGCTAAAATCGGAAAATATAACTAAATAGGATGTATTTGCAAACTAATTCAACTACTTTTCTTTATTTTCAGATAGATCTACGACCTACGTGGTATAGCAAAGTGTTTCCTAAATCCAACATTTTACTGCTCTAATATAAAGGTACATGGTTTTTATTTGTCGTTCTATAGTCCAACTCAAAGTGTAATAAAAATTACATTGTTTATATAAAGTTATAATTCGCAAGTTGCAAATTTTTCTCGTAAAACTCTTTATTATTTCAAATTTTCAAATGTGAAAAGGGTAAAGAAATAACGCTCACATGGTTTTTTATAAATTTCAGGACTAAACTGCAAACCGGGGTGTCTCCAATCTTTCCAACGGATGTCCAACCTTTCTCCTTTAACCTTCTAACTATACACTAATATAATATTCAGGTTTGTTGGTAACAGTTTTGAAACAACTTATAGTTTGAATTTAATTGGAATAGAATTGGCTCAACAAATCAAATGCATGATGGGCTAAAATTGGAAAGAATAACAAAATAGGATTTATTTGCAAACTATCAACGACTTAGACTTTTTTAATTTTCAGATGGATCTACAACGTATGTGGTGAATCAAAGTGTTTCCTAAATCCAACATTTTACTGCTCTATTATAAAGGTACATGGTTTTATTCCTCGTTCTATAGTCCAAGTGTAATAAAAATGACATTGTTATAAAGTTCAATTCACAAATGTTGCAAATTTTTCTCGTAAAACTTAAACTCTTCACTATTTCACATTTTCAGATCGATTTTCCTTTATCTAAACAATGTGGAGGGGGAATGCAAAGCCACGAACGTTAATTGATCAAGTGAGATCATAAATTTATCAAATCAACCGCAGATCGGAAATAAAAACTATAGAGCTTCTAATTTGTTGGCGAGGATAAATGGACTGTGGGAAATTTTATTAATGAATACTGCTATATTGCACTGACTTGAAAGAAATAATTTGTAATTTTATGTCGGTGCAAAATTTTGGATTTAAACATTTGATAAATTTCTCAAAGCCCAAACGTTTAGTTAATTACTTTAGAAGCTAAAACGTTTTGGGCGAATGATATTGTTAAAAAAGTATTTATATGCTTTATTTAAAATATAAATAGCATCACGTGCTGTTCGTGCTGATTTTTGTGAGACATTTCTGTTTTCATATTTTTGGGAGTTTTGCAACTTAGTTTTAAATTAATTGCAATAATGTTTTGCACTGTTCTACTTTTATTTTTAACTTATCTCTAACATTTTACTTTTGTCATTATTAGTCAAACCAAAAATGGATTTACCTCATGAAAAAATGGGTCAGGCACGCATTTTGTATTTAAGACAGATTATCAAAGAGTCTTTAACCACATAAATTGACGGATGTTACTGATATTCGTCTAAATTTCTTCGAAGTAAGTTAACCATTAACGATGGGCAAGGCTTTTACTTATTCGCTCGCCCAAAAAATATCACGAGACTTTCGTCTTTATGGTTCATGGTTTTGCACCTGAACAAAACTGTTTTACATAAACCCTAATCTGCAAACCCTAACCATAACCCCAAAGCTATTCATAACCATAACGGCAACCTTAACCCGAGCCCTAAACAATAAAATTCGCGTTTTACTAGCCTGTCAGTGCTACGCGACGAAAACGCCGTGATTTCATTTAATTGGTTAACCTGATGCCGCGCCGCAAATCTCTATAAACACAAATTATTCATCGCACGTGCAATAAACTCAATTATTAAGTCCTAAATTGTTACCAAAATTATGCAGCTACATATGCAGCAATGGGAAAAAAGCGAGCCCCGTACCTCTTACCGTTTTCTTGATTAAGCTGCTCAACCCCTTTTATGTAACATTTGTGGTACAAAACCATCAATTAAACCACTTACCACCGACCGATTTAAAAAAAATTGCTTATGGGCTTCGTCAGAGTTTTGTCGGCACTATGTCTACTGAAAAATTAGTTAAGTAACTCTTACCGTTTTAAAAATATAACTGACCGGAAATTACACACGCACAGACAGACAAACATACGATCAGACACACACACATTTAATTTTATGTGATTTAACCATTAACACAAGCAGGGGATCGAGCGTGCTAAATTAGTAGAGGCTCTTACGGGCATTGTCTGTTCGATACGCTAGGGACCCCAGATACACCTTACTAGACGTATTTTTGACCGTAGAATCGATTAAAAGTGGTTTCAAGATGATTGGACTGAGTTAGCGCGGTTAAAATCGCAAAAAACCGATTTTGGGGCCAAAAATAGGCCAAAAAACCATGTTTTTTGATAATTTGGGCAAGTTAATTTTGTTGGCATGTCGGAAAAACTTGCATGAAGATAGCTAAAAGACAGCCGCACAAGATGGAATAAAAATAAAACAAATCCCTCTATTTTAGCGCAGGTAAAAATCCAAAAAAGTGGTAAAAATGTTGACTTTTTTGCTTGAAGTTTGAATAAGTTTTTGCAGTTGTATTAAATCAACCCAAAAATAATCACATCGTGTTTGTCTAAATTTTTCCTTTCCGAGAAGTACCCACTTCATATACTTAATCGAAGTTTGAATATTGTCACTCCGCAAGCGTTTTTACCAAATTTTCGACGCGCACTACGCGCAAAAGCATTTAGTTGCTATCAATTGGCACCCGCGCGTTCATCATAAATTTCAAACAGCTATAACTCAGCGAGATTATGTCGGTTCTAGCTCATATTTTCACAACAAATAGAAAATTATGTGATCTTATTGCTGACAAAATATGAATATAATCACTTTATTTGCCTTAGAGAAATAGACTGTCAAAGTTTAAAACGCGCATTGGTATAGCACGTGACTAATAAGGCCAAATTTATACTTCTTAACATATTATCGATCCTTAGACATCATACTATTGTGTTTAATTAGCGGTTAGGTCTCTAAACTCGTAGCAGAAAACACGTCTTTTTGCCCGTAAGAGCTTCTACTAAATCACTCTACAGTCGATTTTATAAAGATAGCCGATAGGGCCCCCGATAGTTGAGACTTATTACCTGAGGACCCCAGGCTATTAATATTATATTCATAAACATAGCCTGGCGTAACTGAACCCTCTAAAACGCGCGAATAGGCGCGTTTATGCGATTTTACAATCAAATTATAAGATTTTACAATCTAACTCATCGCGCGGCTCTTGTAGCGCATACGTCATATGAACATAATAGCCTGGGTTCCTCAGGTAAGTTGAGACCAACTTGGATCGATGTAGTTTCGCACGCTGAATGCTGATTGAGTGATTCCAATTCACCCCGGCCGGCCCCCATGACATATAATATAATAGGGTTAAAATTCTCCTTTAGCGAGGTATTGGCGAAAAACTTACTCGATCACGTGATATGACCGTATAAGGAAGTTGATTTAATTTCTCGTTAGGGTTAGGGTTTCAGCATATGCTTTTGTTAAAGATTGGGTTAGGGTTAGTGTTGGGATCATTAGAGGGCTAGGATTTCGATTAGTCATTCAGGGCCATCAAGAGAACGTGTTAAAAAACACGTGACAGTCGATCGAGTGTAGAGTAATTAATCATCAATCATCATCCAATGTGGCTCGATCTTGCTATGTGTTTGGTGTTGGTTCAGCCGAATTAATTATTTTATATTTGATATTCAAATTCATTTTTAGTTTTTAGTTTAGTTAGTTCATAGTTGCCATCCGGCCACACAGTATGCAACTTATATTGCATGCAGTACCATTTTTCCATTAATTTTGGTAATTTTGCATGGCTGAAACTGAAAGTGAAATGTAACGCTTGATTTATAAATATAATTATTAATTGAATTTTCAAATAAAAAAGTAAAGGGATTAAGCCTATTATATTGTAATTGAGGAGGAAGTCATGTCCTCACTCTCTTCACGTCCGACAATGGCGTTTCTCTTGTCGCTAGTATAATAATATTAATAATTATTTTTGTATCCTTGTACCTTTTTTTTGTTGTTGTATCATATGCAAAGACTAAAAAACGCCAAATTATAGAAAATTTAAATTATCAACATCGAATTTTAATAAAAACAGTGCTATTGTTCCTTCGGAAATAAAATCATCAATAATTTCGAACAGATCAAGTTAGTTCAATTGTATTTTCAGTCATTAATTGATCGTTAATGTTGAATGAAAATTGTATACAAACTGAAATCGGTAAAATGAAAATATTTTTATACGTATGTGAAATAAATGCAAATAAAAGTAAAAATCATAATAAATTTCTAAAGTAAATCACTATAAAAACTGATTCTAATTTCTAAGTCATCAGCTCTTTGCAGTTCATTATTTTATTACAATCAATCTTGGCACATTACCACAGTCTCTAATAATTGGCATCGTCCGGGCTACCTTATTTCTGAATCTAAGATGTTGTGAAAAGTCTGATAGTTAGTGTTTAATCGCACACTACTTCCGTTTCATACGTAGTCACTGGGAATTTAACCGTTCTGAAAAGCAGTTGGGTCAGGTTTAAACTTACTTCTTTTTAAAAAGGTTACTTTAAGTAAAGCGCCTGCTGAAACTGAACGTAGTTCATAAGTTTGTGAACTATAAATCTAATTGTGCTGTATTTTGAGCTATACGTTTATATAACACATAAAATAACAAGTTGTTAGGAAGGCTCCGCTTGTTCGACAGTGCAACAAAAAGAAACAAATTGAAACTAACGTTTCCTCGGTGCATCTTCCTAGAATACAGTTTCCTGGTATTACTTTAGTGACATACGTTACCACTTCTTTCCTCCTCTCTTTGCAGGCTGAAATTATTTGTGCTTGTAAAAATGTTCCGGGTGATAAGTACAGGTAAAATCATTTTTTTTAAATATTTGATTGTGCTGCTGGGAATTAAGACAGACCAAATAAACGTACAATCGTTTTTATCAGTTAAGATTTAAAATTAAGAAACTAATCAGCTGAATATAAATAATTATCTTACAAGCACATGTCTTGTCCACATCACCCTCCCAGAGTCCATCATCTCCACACTTGTAAACAAGCTTGTTCTGAAATAGTGTTTTGTTGAGAGATAATCATCATAATTATGCTAGTCATATCATTATTATCCTAGACATGTCAAAGCTAGACATGTCAATGCTAGGCATGTCAATGCTAGACATGTCAATGCTAGACATGTCAATGCTAGACATGTCAATGCTAGACATGTCAATGCTAGACATGTCAATGCTAGACATGTCAATGCTAGACATGTCAATGCTAGACATGTCAATGCTAGACATGTCAATGCTAGACATTTCAATGCTAGACATGTCAATGCTAGACATGTCAATGCTAGACATGTCAATGCTGCTAGACATATCATACTTATATTTGATCATACGGCTCTGATTTGCTGATTGTCAAATATTGGAAAGAGCGTGGTATAATTCAGGTATGGAAACTCTTATCTTATTTAAGAAAGTAAGAAGGTTTAATTTTTTTTTACTTTGTAAAATTATATTCTATATTCTACAAAAGTTGCACGTAGTCGGTGGAGAATGTTAGGACATGTTTTGCGGGGTCCCGTTGACGGACCAGTGTTTTTTAGACTTGGGCGTTGTTTTTAACTATCCCTTGTTTAGAACTTTGTTTTTAATAATAAATTCTACGAACTAAATTGTAACTGAGAAGTGAGTACTGTTAACTGGTAACAATTAACTAACCTTGTACGGCTCACACACAAACTGCACTGTTTCCAGATAGTCGTACTATTAACTGGTAACAATTAACTAACCTTGTACGGCTCACACACAAACTGCACTGTTTCTAGATAGTCGTACTATTAACTGGTAACAATTAACTAACCTTGTACGGCTCACACACAAACTGCACTGTTTCCAGATAGTCGTACTATTAACTGGTAACAATTAACTAACCTTGTACGGCTCACACACAAACTGCACTGTTTCCAGATAGTCGTACTATTTACTGGTAACAATTAACTAACCTTGTACGGCTCACACACAAACTGCACTGTTTCCAGATAGTCGTACTATTTACTGGTAACAATTAACTAACCTTGTACGGCTCACACACAAACTGCACTGTTTCCATAGGGCCTGTCGTGATATCATGGATCGCTTAGGTTCCACCAGGATCTGGTAGTCCTCATAATTCTGCGGCCTCTATGTGTCGTCATCTCGCACAACTCCGAAAAACCGTTGTGAGTTTGGCATGTGAAAATTTGCAGCCCTCCAGACATCGATTGGGTTAACGAGTTGTCGTACGTCACCTCAAGATCGGGTGACAGGGGGCTGAACAGGCCAGAACCCAATTGATTGGGTCGGAGGTCACGTGATTATGAGCCTGAGGTCACGTGACTATGACGTCACCAGAGCTGAGAGCTCGTTCTCCGTTTCCCGCTCTTTGGACCAGGTGAGCTTGCATGCTTGTGAAAGTGGGTGTAAGTACAGCTGTACTGTAAGTGTAGTTACATCCAATTACCCCTAATAGAACGAAGATTTATTTCTGACAGAAAGCTAGAAATTTACCAAAATATCGACTTTGTTCAAAATTTATTTTGATGACCACTCCTGACCTAAAATTGCACGAGAAATCGATTAAACTTGGTTTCAGAACTCAACAATGCTTCCTTATGCCTTAAAATCCATTTTTATCGATAAAATAAACATTTTGATCCTGTGGATTAATTAGTAACAGGTAACAAATGCACAGAAAAAACCATCGCACTTACATTGCATTCTTAACGGGTCGATTTCGAGTGACCAATAATCGTCGTGATGATATTTATACGTCATGCGTTCCTGATCATCATCAGCAATCAAGAGACAGGAGCGGCGATTGCTTTAAATCAACGGTTTACGTTATTTTTGTGAATTCGACCCCTGTTTTAACGGTTATCACACTTTGTAATTGAATGTATTGAGGATAGCTTTACAAATAAGAGGACCAGTAAATAAAATTGCCACAAGTGTTTCTCTCACTCACTTTCGATAAGATACAATGGAAATTCTTACTTCCATAAGATTCGGAATTTTTTTAAACGCTGAAGAAAATCGGAATTTTATAAAATTTAATCACGCATCTTCTGGAACCCTAAGCTTCATAAGAACCCTTACAAGGCGAGGTTCATTGCAGGTGCCCGTTTTTGCGTTACGAAACAACTTAACGTCCAAGTTAACTGTTGTCTGAAACTTTTGAGGAAATACTTTAAGAAATACTGCGAGGCAATATACAACAACAGCGGTATAAACATGTTTTGGAGCATAGATTCCTCAAGTGAATTCCTTGAAGCTATCAAAAATAGCGATGTTTATAATATACAAGTATATGATTTTACTACTCTTTATACCAGATTAGACTTGATTGAAGTAGAGAATATGATTAATGAAGTTGTTGATTTAATATTTTCAGACCGTAATAGATATATTTGTATTTCTAAAAGAGACAGTAATACATGTTTCTTTTCCAATAAAACCTATGATTCTCATGCCTGCTTTAGTCAAGATGACCTAAAAGAGGCTGTTAAATTTATTATTTATAACACTTATGTCGTCTTCGGTGGGATTGTATTCATACAAACCAAGGGTATTCCTATGGGTGGAAATTCAAGTTCCCCTATAGCTGATCTCACTGTTGGCAAAAAGGAATTTAATTATATGAAACGTTTACTTCAGGAAAAGAAAATGGGATTAGCAAAGATATTATCCAATAATAAACGATATGTTGACGATTAACCTTAATATGACTACAAGCACATACACAGTGGCCAATTTGGTAAGCTGTTTACAGCAGGGTTTTAGCGTAATAATCGATCTTTTAGAATGTCCTCCTCCTCCTGGGTCTTCCTGATCCTCCTCCTCCCTCTCAGTCATCCTCCTCAGTCATCCTCCTCAGTCATCCTCCTCAGTCATCCTCCTCAGTCATCCTCCTCAGCCATCCTTCTCAGCCATCCTCCTCAGTACTCTTCAGTCTTCAGTACTCTTCAGTCCTCCTCCTTCTAGGCGGACATAGCTATAGGCGGACATAGGCGGACATAGACGGACATAGGCGGACATATACGAACATTAATGGACACCTAAATTGCTAAATAAAATGTTCAATTTTTGCTGTTATAGGGGGGATCATGTTTTTTGTCCGTTCGGTACCCTATATTTTCAAAACGGACAAAAAATAGAGCGGACAAAAATGGACAAAAACGGACAAAAATGGAAATAACATTTAGATGCTTCCTCCTCCTACTCTTCCTCCTCCTCCTCCTGGGTCTTCCTGATCTTCCTCAGTCCTCTTCCTCCTCCCCTCCTCAGTCCTCCTCCTACTCTTCCTCCTCGTCCTCAGTCCTCCTCATCAGTCCTTAACTGTCCTCCTCCCCAGTCCTCCTCCTCCTCCTGAGTCCTCCTCCTTAAATTTAACACGATTTTCCGCAAAAACGCGAATTAAATAGGTAATAATTTATTTAGTCTCTTGAGTCTTAAAACCACTCAGGGGTTAGACGGGTTCCTGCTAGTAGACTTTAACCTGTCGACAATATTTCAGGAATGATTCCCGCAAGAAATTATATTCCTTCGTTTTGCTGTGATCCCTACTCTGGAACTAACTGCTGATGGAATTTCATACGATTCGTTGATTTTTTGTAAAAATTGAACTTATATTTTATAAAATTCCGATATTCTTCAACGGTTGAAAAATTCCGAATCTTATGGTTAAGTAAGAATTTGCATTGTGTCTTATCGAAAGTGAGTAAGAGAAACACTTGTGACAATTTTATTTACTGGTCCTCTTATTTGTAAAGATATCCTCAATACATTCTATGACAAAGTGTGATAACTGTTAAAACAGGGGTCGAATTTACAAAAAATAACGTAAACCGTTGATTTAAAGCAATCGCCGCTCCTGTCTCTTGATTGCTGATGATGATCAGGAACGCATGACGTATAAATATCATCACGACGATTATTGGTCACTCGAAATCGACCCGTTAAGAATGCAATGTAAGTGCGATGGTTTTTTCTGTGCATTTGTTACCTGTTACTAATTAATCCACAGGATCAAAATGTTTATTGAATCGATAAAAATGGATTTTAAGGCATAAGGAAGCATTGTTGAGTTCTGAAACCAAGTTTAATCGATTTCTCGTGCAATTTTAGGTCAGGAGTGGTCATCAAAATAAATTTTGAACAAAGTCGATATTTTGGTAAATTTCTAGCTTTCTGTCAGAAAATAAATCTTCGTTCTATTAGGGGTAATTGGATGTAACTACAGTACAGCTGTACTTACACCCACTTTCACAAGCATGCAAGCTCACCTGGTCCAAAGAGCGGGAAACGGAGAACGAGCTCTCAGCTCTGGTGACGTCATAGTCACGTGACCTCAGGCTCATAATCACGTGACCTCCGACCCAATCAATTGGGTTCTGGCCTGTTCAGCCCCCTGTCACCCGATCTTGAGGTGACGTACGACAACTCGTTAACCCAATCGATGTCTGGAGGGCTGCAAATGTTCACATGCCAAACTCACAACGGTTTTTCGGAGTTGTGCGAGATGACGACACATAGAGGCCGCAGAATTATGAGGACTACCAGATCCTGGTGGAACCTAAGCGATCCATGATATCACGACAGGCCCTACTGTTTCCAGATAGTTGTACTATTAACTAGTAACAATTAACTAACCTTGTACGGCTCACACACAAACTGCACTGTTTCCAGATAGTCGTACTATTAACTGGTAACGATTAACTAACCTTGTACGGCTCACACACAAACTGCACTGTTTCCAGATAGTCGTACTATTAACTGGTAACAATTAACTAACCTTGTACGGCTCACACACAAACTGCACTGTTTCCAGATAGTCGTACTATTAACTAGTAACAATTAACTAACCTTGTACGGCTCACACACAAACTGCACTGTTTACAGATAGTCGTACTATTAACTAGTAACAATTAACTAACCTTGTACGGCTCACACACAAACTGCACTGTTTACAGATAGTCGTACTATTAACTGGTAACAATTAACTAACCTTGTACGGCTCACACACAAACTGCACTGTTTCCAGATAGTCGTACTATTTACTGGTAACAATTAACTAACCTTGTACGGCTCACACACAAACTGCACTGTTTCCAGATAGTCGTACTATTAACTAGTAACAATTAACTAACCTTGTACGGCTCACACACAAACTGCACTGTTTCCAGATAGTCGTACTATTAACTAGTAACAATTAACTAACCTTGTACGGCTCAAACACAAACTGCACTGTTTCCAGATAGTCGTACTATTAACTGGTAACAATTAACTAACCTTGTACGGCTCACACACAAACTGCACTGTTTCTAGATAGTCGTACTATTAACTGGTAACAATTAACTAACCTTGTACGGCTCACACACAAACTGCACTGTTTCCAGATAGTCGTACTATTAACTGGTAACAATTAACTAACCTTGTACGGCTCACACACAAACTGCACTGTTTCCAGATAGTCGTACTATTAACTGGTAACAATTAACTAACCTTGTACGGCTCACACACAAACTGCACTGTTTCCAGATAGTCGTACTATTTACTGGTAACAATTAACTAACCTTGTACGGCTCACACACAAACTGCACTGTTTCCAGATAGTCGTACTATTAACTGGTAACGATTAACTAACCTTGTACGGCTCACACACAAACTGCACTGTTTCCAGATAGTCGTACTATTTACTGGTAACAATTAACTAACCTTGTACGGCTCACACACAAACTGCACTGTTTCCAGATAGTCGTACTATTAACTAGTAACAATTAACTAACCTTGTACGGCTCACACACAAACTGCACTGTTTCCAGATAGTCGTACTATTAACTAGTAACAATTAACTAACCTTGTACGGCTCAAACACAAACTGCACTGTTTCCAGATAGTCGTACTATTAACTGGTAACAATTAACTAACCTTGTACGGCTCACACACAAACTGCACTGTTTCTAGATAGTCGTACTATTAACTGGTAACAATTAACTAACCTTGTACGGCTCACACACAAACTGCACTGTTTCCAGATAGTCGTACTATTAACTGGTAACAATTAACTAACCTTGTACGGCTCACACACAAACTGCACTGTTTCCAGATAGTCGTACTATTAACTGGTAACAATTAACTAACCTTGTACGGCTCACACACAAACTGCACTGTTTCCAGATAGTCGTACTATTTACTGGTAACAATTAACTAACCTTGTACGGCTCACACACAAACTGCACTGTTTCCAGATAGTCGTACTATTAACTGGTAACGATTAACTAACCTTGTACGGCTCACACACAAACTGCACTGTTTCCAGATAGTCGTACTATTTACTGGTAACAATTAACTAACCTTGTACGGCTCACACACAAACTGCACTGTTTCCAGATAGTCGTACTATTTACTGGTAACAATTAACTAACCTTGTACGGCTCACACACAAACTGCACTGTTTCCAGATAGTCGTACTATTTACTGGTAACAATTAACTAACCTTGTACGGCTCACACACAAACTGCACTGTTTCCAGATAGTCGTACTATTTACTGGTAACGATTAACTAACCTTGTACGGCTCACACACAAACTGCACTGTTTCCAGATAGTCGTACTGTTAACTGGTAACGATTAACTAACCTTGTACGGCTCACACACAAACTGCACTGTTTCCAGATAGTCGTACTATTAACTGGTAACAATTAACTAACCTTGTACGGCTCACACACAAACTGCACTGTTTCCAGATAGTCGTACTATTAACTGGTAACAATTAACTAACCTTGTACGGCTCACACACAAACTGCACTGTTTCCAGATAGTCGTACTATTAACTGGTAACAATTAACTAACCTTGTACGGCTCACACACAAACTGCACTGTTTCCAGATAGTCGTACTATTAACTGGTAACAATTAACTAACCTTGTACGGCTCACACACAAACTGCACTGTTTCCAGATAGTCGTACTATTAACTGGTAACAATTAACTAACCTTGTACGGCTCACACACAAACTGCACTGTTTCCAGATAGTCGTACTATTAACTGGTAACAATTAACTAACCTTGTACGGCTCACACACAAACTGCACTGTTTCCAGATAGTCGTACTATTAACTAATAACAATTAACTAACCTTGTACGGCTCACACACAAACTGCACTGTTTCCAGATAGTCGTACTATTAACTGGTAACAATTAACTAACCTTGTACGGCTCACACACAAACTGCACTGTTTCCAGATAGTCGTACTATTAACTGGTAACAATTAACTAACCTTGTACGGCTCACACACAAACTGCACTGTTTCCAGATAGTCGTACTATTAACTGGTAACAATTAACTAACCTTGTACGGCTCACACACAAACTGCACTGTTTCCAGATAGTCGTACTCTGCCTTGTCAGTTCCTGTTATTCTACTTCCTTCAGGAACTCTTCTTTTACATCTCACTCCTGTGAGAGAGATAACAAATAATATTAAATGATAACATCTAAAAGTAAGCTATAACATAAGTATCCATATTCCGTGCACACTTTGAAACCATTTATTTATTTATCTACGATATTATGTTTTTTTGTTTGGTTGAATAACTTTCCGTTAACTGATTGGGATCTGACACATGTAATTTTGTAATGATCTTTCTAATTTCTAATTTCTAATTTCTAATTTCTAATTTCTAAATTTCTAATTTCTAATTTCTATAAAACACGAATGAACTATTTAGAAAACGTAAGACTGTATCGAATAGAAAAATCCATAAACAGATAAACGAGTTCATTATTTGCCAGTTTACTCTTCCGTAGAAAAACTACCATTGAATTTTGAAAGTTCTCCAAGTATTTGAAATCCAAATATCAACATTGAATATTGCAGCTTAAAGGTGTCTTAAAACAATGGAAATATGTGTGGTGATCTACTAACGTTCACATTTTGGAGAAATCCCATCCCATTCTCCACTTTCAAGGCATGTTCGGGTATTCCGACCTTCTGGTACCATCTTATAGCCTGGATTACACATATACTGCACCGACCTGGTAAAATGGTTTTATCACTTCAACAGCTCCTTTAAGGTAATAATTATATGTCTAATATCCACCTGCAACCAAAAATATTAAAAGGCCGTTATTTTGAATCATTTAAATATTTTAAATCTTTGCTTTAAGATTATTTTAAACTCACGTTCCCACCACGTTCTCATCAGCAGTCTCTATAATTCCGTTAAGAAGAGATAGTACGGGACAGGAGACACATTTACACTCGGGTGGGGCATATGTCCACTGTTTGTTGTTTGTGCACGTTCTTATATCTTCCCCCATCAGGTGGTACCTGGGGGTTATTACTTAGTAATACTACCTTACCGGACTTTATTAAACCTGGGGGTTGTTACTTAGTAATACTACCTTACCGGAATTTATTAAACCTGGGGGTTGTTACTTAGTAATACTACTTTACCGGAATTTATTAAACGGAGAGATTAATTGCGTCCAATAATGAACAACAACTAAATCTAAATCACATGAAAACAGCGTTGGAGGCCCTAGAGTTCATATTGAACAACAACTAAATCTAAATCACATGAAAACAGCGTTGGAGGCCCTAGAGTTCACATTGAACAACAACTAAATCTAAATCACATAAAAACAGCGTTGGAGGCCCTAGAGTTCATTGAACAACAACTAAATCTAAATCACACGAAAACAGCGTTGGAGGCCCTAGAGTTCATAATGAACAACAACTAAATCTAAATCACACGAAAACAGCGTTGGAGGCCCTAGAGTTCGTTGAACAACATTTGAAACCAGCGCTGACCTGTCATCCTTGCACTTGTACTGCACTGCCGCCCCCGGAGTGTCAGCACCCCCCTCTAACCCACCACTAATCTGAGTGACACTGCCGTACAGGATATCCCCCACATTGCCACAGTGTTTCACTTTGCAGGAGGTGGGCCCCGGCCCGCTCCACTGGGAGCCGTTCAGACAGCGCCTCACAGGGTCACCGTACAACTCGTACCCTTCATCACACACGTAGTGTACTTGCTGACCTGAAGTGTTGTTTAGTGTGTTGTTACTTTATTGTTGTACTTTCTGCTGCTACTTTGTGCGATTTTCAAAAGGATAGAGTGTAGTTTTATAACTAGAGTGTAGTTTTATAACTAGAATTTAGTTTAGGTCTTCTCACTGGTACCAGCAAATAAGAAAATAACAGTAATTTCTGAATTCTGTGTATCGAGGTTAATATTTAAATACCAAATAATATAAAAGTATTCCTACTCTTAACTTTGTTATAATACCCCATTACCCTGTGGCCGTCCATTAACCTACCGCCATAAGTGTATTTAGTGTCAGCATTAGCGACCTCCTCCAACACAGGGCACACTTGCTCCACACACAGAGGGAACTTGTTGTCCCACTCTTCATCCTCACCACACCTCAACACGGCCTGACCCGTCAGAGCGTAGCTCTCGTCACATTTAAACGTTACAGAGCTCCCGCACTCGTACTTTACTCGTATTGTGTTTGCTGTGAGTCTACCGTTACCTACTGCGTGATCAGGCTTACTGCACTGCTTCACTGAGAGATGGGGGGTTTTTATAGAAATAGTATTTGAAGTAATAGTGAGGATTGAAAAGGTTGATTATCATGATATTTCGGTCGAGGATCACCCGAAGGCAAAAGTAAGTATGACACAAGCTTGAGGAATAAAAAAGAAAAACTCTCATTTTGTTACAGACTGACTATAAATATAGAACTTGTATATTGACTACATACCTTCACACTCAGTAGGTTTAGGAGGACTCCACCTGCCGTCTATACACTGCAGTATCTCCGCTCCAGGGTTAGTCGGACCATAACAAGGATCACACTCTATTCTGCGCAGAATGTCTGATTCCTTGACTATCCTCCCGTGGGTAACGTTTGCAAGGGGCTCACACTCGCTGTGTTCACATCTTGGGACGTCTTCCCTCCAGGTTCCATCTTGCTGGCAGGATATTATCATGCTGCCAACTAGTTCCCAGCCTGAGGAATGCTTACTGTCAGCAGTAGTATTTGGGTAGTTTATAATAAATCAACCATCATTAAAGGATAATGTTCTGGTCCCCTAGTCCTACTTGAATTTATCCATTTACCTTTTGAAAAAAATATAGTGAAAGGTTACGAATCGAGGGCAGCCGGCAGGGGGGGGGGGTGGGTTTGGTTCCTAGATTGAACCAAATTTTTTAGCACATTTTTTTTTAGCACAAACACTCGAATTTTATAAACTTAACTGCAAGTAAAATTACACATCTTACCATCTTCACACTCATATTCTATCTCAGTGTACGGTCTGTATTTGCCGTCCGTAGCAGCAGGATCTGGATAAGTTGTAGTTTTCATGTGTTGAGCTACTTCCGGGTGGGGGCAGGTTACTTCCTCACAGGTAGGGATAACTGTGTCATACTTACTGCTGCTCGTGCACTTCAGTTGTTTGTCTCCTACTAGTTTGTATCTGGTACAGTGAGCATGTGAGTAAAAGGTAGTTTGATATATTGTCATGTAAGTAAAGCGCAAAATAATATAGAGCCATCTTTCAAAGTTGGCATCTTTGCTAGAGCCATAATGTTTTCGTTTGAACTGAAAATTAATAAAAGTCTTTAGCACAATGTCAAATAATGTTTGCACAAATGTCATGAATTCCTAAATAATACCGACTTACCCTAAATCACACTCAAAGCTAACGGTTTCTCCACACTTGGGTATATCCTCGACATCATGACCACTTGTAATTCTTCCTGCAATATCATCCACTTAACCGTGTAATACAATTTGCAAGCCTACTTTGTAATAGCATACTATAGTGTCTATAGTACTGCAGTAATTTCTTCTGGTCAGACAATCTACACAACGTTTGAGCAACGTTTGATGCTCCATTAGAGATAGCGGGCAGATAACAAAGTATTGGATTGCAGAGTATTGAACCTTACGGTTAGAAATAGCAGGCAGATAACAAAGTATTGGATTGCAAAGTATTGAACCTTACCGTTAGAGATAGCAGGCGGATAACAAAGTATTGGATTGCAAAATATTGAACCTTACCATTAGAAATAGCAGGCAGATAACAAAGTATTGGATTGCAAAGTATTGAACCTTACCGTTAGAGATAGCGGGCAGATAACAAAGTATTGGATTGCACGTGGGCTCTGGAGATGACCAAGTGACTCCTTTATTCCCATCAAATACACATTGTCTTATTTGTGCGTCTCCTCCCTGCAACTCAGAGCACGTGTTGCACTGGTAGGTAATGTTAGCTCCGTATAGGACACCTTTACCCTGCTCTTGCAGTGAAGGGAACACTGCTCCGTTAGTGGGATCGTCCTGGGGTCTACAGGACATCTTCACACATTTAGGAGGTTGTGGGAACCATGCAGTCTTGTCACATCTTATCCAGGGAGTCCCCTCCATCTTGTACCCTTCCTCACACGTATACCAATACTGCTGGTTACAATCAGTATCCTCTAGGTTTATCTTAGCCTTCTTCATGTTAGCATGAGGAACAAGAGGGGGAGCCGGGCACTGCTTCCTGGCACATCCACTGTGAGGGTACTCCCAGGTTCCATCAGATTGGCAGAGTGCCTCCTCCGGCTGGGGGACGTGGAAACAGCGTCTCTGTCTGGGGTTTACTCCGCAGGTGTATTCTACCTGGTGTAGTGTAGTGTTAGTGTTAGTTAGACGTTAGTATAGTGTTAGTATAGTGTAAGTGTAGTGTAGTGTTATAATTCTACCTGGTGTAGTTATGTGTTAGTGTTAGTTATACTAGTTAGTTATAGTGTTAGTATAGTGTAAGTGTAGTGTAGTGTTATAATTCTACCTGGTGTAGTTATGTGTTAGTGTTAGTTATACTAGTTAGTTATAGTGTTAGTATAGTGTTAGTGTAGTGTTAGTGTAGTGTTAGTGTAGTGTTAGTGTAGTGTTAGTATAGTGTTAGTATAGTGTAAGTGTAGTGTAGTGTTATAATTCTACCTGGTGTAGTTATGCTGCTTTAGTCAGGTTTATTAGTATGGCGTCATTATAATATTTACAATAAAAAAGAGGTGCAGGTTTTATTGAAGTTGTTGTAGTTTGAATAGAACTCATGATAACTAAGTGATAACTCATTGATAACTCATTATATGAGTAGAACTCATGAACTAATGATAATTAAGTGTTATCTTACCTCGTACCCATATAGAGTATCGATATACTCAGCTACCAGCGGAAGACTGACAGAAATGTCTCCGCAATCGATCGCCACGCACTCCGGCTCCGTCCCTGACCATTTCTCTCCGTCACATTTTCGTGTTACTGTTCGGGAACTGCAATATTTTTTTAAAAATTATAGAGGGTGTACATTTTTTGGTTCTTATTTTTTGTTACATCTTATAACAAAAATGACACAACGCACGATAAGATAAAACGAAGAATATGTCACGACCAGATAACACACTCGATCAAGGTCAAGTTCCAATCTACAACCCAAACAAATGTCAGTAAAACAAATCTAACCTTGTAGTAGTAAAGTGGTAGCCGGTGTTACACTCGTACGTTACACTAGCCTCACACTGGAAGTTCTGAGAACTTGTCATTCTGCCGTTAGCTGGTGTCCCTGGGTTGGAGCACCTCTTCTCTGAGGAAGATTAGGAAGAGTTAGGGAGATACTACACCTCTTCTCTGTTAATATTAGGAAGAGTTAGGGAGATACTACACCTCTTCTCTGTTAATATTAGGAAGAGTTAGGGAGATACTACATTACCTCTCTGGGAGATTATTTAAAAGACATTTAAGAAGTAAAGGGATGAACTGAGATTTTTAAAATAAAGAGTTGGCACTGACCCTGACAGACAGGGAAACTTCCGTTCCAGTTCCCAGTAGCTTCGCACTTTAGCACATGGAACCTTGGGTAGATGCTCTCTGTTTCTTTTACACTGTAGGACAATTTTATTATTGGGGGGTTATTAGGAGAGCTTCTGAGGGTTTTATTCCTTTGTTTATACAGGGGGTGCTTTATAAGGGGGAGGGGGGGGTACAGGGGGGCTGTATAGAGGAGCGGTGCTGTACTGGAGGACGAAAGTGCAAAGAAACTGCTGCTAACTGCTGCTAACTGTTGCTAACTGCTGCTGACTGCTGCTAACTGCTGCTGACTGCTGCTAACTGCTGCTTACTGCTGCTACCTGCTGCTAACTGCTGCTAACTGCTGCTAACTGCTGCTAACTGCTGATAACTGCTGATAACTGCTGCTGACTGCTGCTAACTGCTGGTGACTGCTGCTAACTGCTGCTAACTGCTGCTAACTGCTGGTAACTGCTGCTAACTGCTGCTAACTGCTGGTGACTGCTGCTAACTGCTGCTAACTGCTGCTAACTGCTGGTAACTGCTGGTAACTGCTGGTAACTGCTGGTAACTGCTGGTAACTGCTGCTAACTGCTGCTAATTGCTGCTTACTGCTGCTAACTGCTGCTAACTGCTGCTAACTGCTGCTAACTGCTGCTGACTGCTGCTAACTGCTGCTAACTGCTGCTAACTGCTGCTAACTGCTGCTAACTGCTGCTGACTGCTGCTAACTGCTGCTAATTGCTGCTAACTGCTGCTAACTGCTGCTAACTGCTGCTAACTGCTGCTAGCAGCAGTTTTTTTGCACTTTAGTCTCCCTAGGGGGGGGGGGGGGGGTGTACAGGGGGTGTACAGGGGGCTGTATTACTAGCTCAACATAGTTAAAATCATTGGTAAGATTAGTTTTGTATTCTATGTGGAATTCGAAAACAATCTTCATCTGTTCAATCTAACTTGAAATTTAATCAAACCCATGGAAATTGGAAGTGTTTAGTGTTTACCTTTCGTTTTTGAAGGCACTATTAAACTTGTAGCAATCATCACACTTGAACGTGACAACAGTACCGTACTCGTGTGTGAGATCAGGGAAGTGGGAGCGATAAGGTGAGGAGTTTATTGAGGTGCAGACTTTAACTAAGGGTGGAGGTTTCAGTTAGAGAACTGTGAAACAAAAATATTTAGATATCATTTTAACTATCACTAATCCGTTCATTTATTCGAGGTTACGTGTTGGCGAATGTATAAATTGATGAATCTGAAGCAATAAGAAAATTGAAACAATTATCATTCAAAAAACCAAGTTAAATATTCAGAAAGGGCTCCATTGGAGGGCTTCATTGGTTTTAGTAGGTTTCATATTTTTTTAAATAAATTTTTTAATTAAAAAAAAAAATAAGTAAATAAAATTTTAAAATTGTCTTACTTGAGCAGACAGGGTGTTTGCCGGTCCATTTTCCCCACTCAGTGCAGTTCCGGACCAAATCACCGTCCGTCAGGTAATACCCTTCATCACACTTGTAAACAGCCTGGGTTTTCAGTTTTAGGATACACACAATACTTTCTCACTATTGATAGGCTAATTTTATTAATAACCGCTAAATATTGTCTTTCAGTGTTCAGGGAGAACAGTATATAGCTGGTGTACGCATGACAAGGTCCCCCCTCCCCCCTCTCTTCCTACACCCCTGGTACGCATGACAAGGTCCCCCCCCCTCCCCCCCTTCCTACACCCCTGGTACGCATGACAAGGTCCCCCCCCCCTCCCCCTCTTCCTACACCCCTGGTACGCATGACAAGGTCCCCCCCCCTCCCCCTCTTCCTACACCCCTGGTACGCATGACAAGGTCCCCCCCTCCCCCTCTTCCTACACCCCTGGTACGCATGATAAGGTCCCCCCTCTTCCTACACCCCTGGTACGCATGATAAACAAGTTTACTGAAGAGAAGTTTAAAGTAAAAAACCTATTCCTTAAATAAACTAACCGCTCCATCACAAGTCCCATCAATACTGACAAGACTGCCGTGAGTAGGGGGACTAGGTGGGGCCTGACACGTGATCCTCTCACAAGTGGGCGCTGTCTCGTTCCACATCCCTCTAGTACAGTCCCCAGGGTCCGGTACACACTTCCTTCTCTCACAGAGACACTCTGAGTCGTGACTGAAGGTGTAGCACCTGTCACATCTGTAACGCGCCATGTCCCCACACCCTCGTCCCGTTGTGTCTACTTGTCCGTGCTCTATTTCCGGAGCCTCCTCACATTGTCTCACTGAACATATTAAGTGGTGTTGTTAGATCTTTAGATAAGTGATAGTTGACCAATAGTTAGTCGGTTGTAAATCAACTAAATTATTGTGGTATATTCACTATATGAGATAAGAGAAGAGAGCCATTTTAGGACGCGAGGAGAGTTAGGACTCGACGGACTACATTAAATCAATTCCCTCCTTAACGTCCTCAATAAATGTAATAGACTGGACTACAATCTGTAGTGTACAATAGTTATAAACTATTGTGAAAATATTTTGTAACTATGACACACTCATAGTGATCAACTTCTAAGTCTAACTCCTCCAATGTTTTCAATGACTTACAGTTCATTTTAGGCTCTTTTGTTGTCCAAGACCAAGATTTATCGTAGTTACATTGCGCTTCCATGATTCCATCCGTCGACTGAAAGACATCATTATTATAAAACAGGATCTTACCGACAAAAATGATTCATAAAAATACCTTAATGCAGTAAACTGTACCCTTGAAACAGATTTTCCCAACATTTGTCGCATGCAGCTATATCTTTGATTTCGTATAATTCATGTATAATTAGCAAGCCCTGAAAGACAAGGCTTGCTAATTATCAAGTCATATAATATCTGAATTGCTATCTACAAATTATTGCTTTATTACATATCAAAAATGATTGTTCCAATTCGCTAAATTTGCTTTTCCCCCTAAACTAAAATCAAATAATATTATATATTAACAAATTAAGCTAATTTATGATTCAAGAATTAATAAAGAAACCATTGTCTCTTCAGCACATGACTCCTCGTAGTAGCACTCATCACACTCAAGCTCCTTCTTGAAGTTGCATTTATTCTCTCCTGCTTTGTAGGTACAGTGTGGTACAGCTGGCGGGGTGGCGCACCTCGACCCTGATAATTAATTAGTTTTTAGTTATTTTCAACTGTATTTTGATTCATTTTTTAAATACTTATTGCTTTGATGGGTTTTCTTCCTTCGATTTACTCGTATACCTTTTTAAGAGTTTCATTTATCAGGATATCCCAAAAATTATTATTTAAATTTCCAACTAAAATGAAGATACAGTTTTACTGAGGTATTTATTGGTGTGCTAACTAATTAATTAATTATAAAGAAAAAAATGAAAAAATACATGTTAAGAAAAAAGAAAAAAATATATATATATAAAAAAGTATCTCTTACTGTGGCAAGTAGGGAGGTGATGTGACCAGGTCTTGTTTGTCTGGCACGTGTGAATCTGGGACCTTGAACCGTCAGGGAGCTCATAACACTCGTCACATGTCACCTCCACCTGACCGTTCAGTTATATCAAGGAGAGGGAAATGAGTATAAATAAAACAATAATATTATTTTTTAAATTGTTTATTGGATAGTGAAACAACAGTCTAGCCTAGTCTCTTTGCTCCCAATATTATCATTTTTTTATTTATTTTGTATCTACCTTCCTATACTTTTAACATCATATCACACTTCCCCTCACACATTAATGACCATATCAGACCTGTATCTAATGTATCTGGAATTTGACGTATTGAAATACCACTTTTGACTCTATATCCACAGTTATTCACCATGGATTTGTTTGTTATTAAATAGTTTTTCATAAATTTTTGAATTTAGATTAATTCGATGTAATGGGTCCAAGTTACTGCGGACATAGTTCACTATGTGTTTACCGTGTTTGGGTGCCAATCATATTTTACAGATGGGGCGACATTTTGAACGATTCTACTTTATATTCATCTATTGCTGTACTCTGTAAAATTTGAAAAGTATTTAATAACAAAAAATAATATAAAACGCTCTTTGAACAGTACTCACAGTGCTCTGACAATGAGCAGGGTTATCTAGACTGTACTCTTGAGGGGAGGTGTATTGAAGGTGCATGGTCTCATCTATATCTCTGTAGGGGCAAGTCTTTACTGAAACGCATTGTGGTGGTCAGACCTTGTGTAGTTAGCAATTTAAATTTAAAACATCAAATTCGAGTTCATTTAAATGCAATGTTGCTGTGTATAATGTTTAACATTGATTTGTTTGTAATATATAAGTGATTTGCTTATTAACTTAAACTACTCACACGTGCAGGACTTGTCTCTGTTAGTCCACTCTCCTATCTCTCCTATATCTGACTGTTTCTTAACACACTGTTTTACGGGCGGGTTCTTTATTCCGTCCACTACTGCTCCATCCTGCAAATATATGCAAATATTTGACAATATGCACTATGCAGATATGCAAATATGCAAATATGCAAATATGCAAATATACAAATATACAAATATGCAAATATGCAAATATGCAAATATACCCTGCTTAGTTTCGGGATCAATATTTTATTAGGTCCCCTATATTGATGTCTTCACTAGTGAACTAACTAACCTCATCGTTGTACTCAAAGCAAGGTCCGCAGATAGGATCTATCTCCTGACACACATAGTCTCTGTCACATGTGGCAAAGTTCTCTTTAACAGTCATCTCACCCAGTTCCTGTAGAACCGTTCTGGTCCCCTTTCTGTAAACCAACTGTGTACTCTTCTCCTCAGTTATTGGGTCCACCGGCTCCTCCAGGTGCTCGCAACAGATAGCTGCGGTGTTGTCAACATGTTACCATATTAGGGCATCACGTGGTACAACATACACTACTTGCCTTGAAGTTTTAATTCTGTTCTACATTAGAATCTGCAATAAGTCTCAAATACATAATGAATAATTTCCCTAAACTTATGACCTCCCCCCGCCCTTACTACTCACGTTCACAGACAGGAGGGTTGGAGCTCCAGCCAGCAGTCCCCGTGTTGGTGTTTTGGTTACAAGTCAGAGTCTCACTTCCAACCAGTCTGTAGCAGGGATCACACTCGTATCGTACTGTACCTGTTAGGAGACGTTGTTAGTCTACACATCATCTACATATGAACAGATACAAAGAGGAAGGGAAACTAAAAGTTAAAAATAAATAGACTAATATGAATCAGCGGATGATAATTAATTAGCGGATAATTAGCGGATAATAGTTAATTCTCACCGCAAGTGCAAGCAGACTCCGGTTCCACTGTTTTAAAACTTCCGTTATCAATAGTGACAGGCTCGGAGCAGGTGATGGGGACGCACTTTGGAAGGTCCTTGTCCCAGAACTTAGTGGGAAGACATTGCAGGGTGTCTGTTATAACATCGGCACTGATCTTGTGACAGCAGTCACATTCCACATCTATCTGTGGAGATGTGTTGAAAGATAAAGATGTTGAGACAAAGAGACAAGAGTATCCAGATGTTTGAAGCAGCAGTGCGTTTAGAACAAAATGTTAAAGTGAGATGGACTTACAGGCTAAATATCTAAAAGTGAGATGAACTTACAGGCTAAATATTTAAAAGTGAGATGGACTTACAGGCTAAATATCTAAAAGTGAGATGAACTTACAGGCTAAATATTTAAAAGTGAGATGGACTTACAGGCTAAATATCTAAAAGTGAGATGGACTTACAGGCTAAATATCTAAAAGTGAGATGAACTTACAGGCTAAATATTTAAAAGTGAGATGGACTTACAGGCTAAATATCTAAAAGTGAGATGAACTTACAGGCTAAATATCTAAAAGTGAGATGAACTTACAGGCTAAATATCTAAAAGTGAGATGAACTTACAGGCTAAATATCTAAAAGTGAGATGGACTCAGAAACCAAAAATATAAAAGTGAGATGGACTTACAGTTTGGTTGCACTTCTTTGTACTGTGTACTACAGTGTAGTGAAGGTTGTTTTCAGCTGGGATCTCAGGAACGTTACAATCTTTTCCTGTTTAAAGTTTAGGTTAATTCTAATCAAGTCATGATTCTGATCAACGTTCTGTATTAAATGTTAGTGAGGATAGGTCATCGTAAACTGTAATATTTTAAAGTTTATCTTGTTTTACTCAGCAACTAAAACAATAGTGTATATTACACATATATATAATATGTTTATTGTGTAAGTAAAGTGTAAGTAAGTGTATCTTATTTTACCTTTTGCTACTAAAGCAAATTAAACAATAAAATACTCACTGGTACACATTCTGTCGGTGTTGGTCCAGTAACCTTCCTTACTGTTACCCTTCTTGACACACTTCCTCGTGGGTGCAGAGTCGGACTGAAAACATACCAAGTTACTTTGTTACTACTAGTTAATGTAACATAACAAGTTAATGTACTTGTTTTAAACAATCAATGTTTTTGAAGTTTTCAACGTTCTTTACAATTCTGGTTTAGTTTGGATCCAGTTTCTTTTCGAGAGTATTCCTTTTAATGAGTTTATTAAACCTCAAACAAAACTAAAGGTTGGAAAGTAAAGCAGCCGTTATGAAACAAGTAAAACAAGTAGCGTACTACTACTGCTATAAGTAGCTAATTATCAGTAACCTACCACATCCCCCTCTGTTCTGTACTCATAGCACTCGTCACACTCAGCTGCTACCTCCTGGCACACGTAGTTGTCTCCACAACCTGCCGGGTTAGCGCCGTGTGTGTAACGTACCCCCGTAGATATTACCTGCAGGTTTAAATCTTAATACTTTATAAAGTGTGTGTATAAATACGCTATAACTAATTAACTATATATAACTAATAATTTGAGGATGTTTGAGGGTGGGATCTGCAACAATACTTGTAATTGTATGACGGGATCAAAACGGGATCAAAACGGGATCAATACAATTTTACACAAGAATACAATACTTGTATAGATTGGCGATTTTTATAATTCTGGTCGTTTCATTGTTTCCTTCGTTCATTAAAATTATTGAAATATTTGTAAAGGAGTAAATGTGACCTGGTAGTGTGGTTACTTACTCCTTTATAAGTAAGATTATTACCTGGTAGTGTGGTTACGTACTCCTTTATAAATATTGTTATTACCTGGTAGTCCTCATCCTCGCTGGGTACGGGTAGTAGTGCTGGGCAGCAAATAGCTGAAACGGAATATCAGTCAGCTATGTGTAATCATAGTTTATTGTTATAAATTTGTTGAATTTATAACAATAAACAATAAATTCAATTTTTTGTTTTATTCTAAACATTTCTTGTTTCATTGAATAATAAAATCAAAATATTTTAAAATTAAATGTTAACCATATGCACATTTTGCAAAACTGATAAAATGATAAAACGTACGTTGACAAGAGGGCGGGGTGTTACATTTTACAAAACTGATAAAATGATAAAACGTACGTTGACAGGATGGAGGGGTGTTGACCCAGCTCGTGAGACTGAACTCCAAATCAGGCTGAGTACAGATCACCTCCTCGTTGCCTACTAGTTCTGTGCACTCGTTACAAGTGTACTTTAACTGCGGAGATCAGGTGCCTGTCACTATTTGGTGGCCCATGTAATGACAGTAACAGGTTTTTTTTTCGAACAAAAATAATTATTTTGTCATTATTTTCAAAATTGTTTGTTTAAATTATTTTCTCAAATATTACCTTTCCACCGCAGGATAAAGCTTCCTTAGTAACTGTGGCGTTAGTGACAACAGGGATCTCATCGTCCGCACATGCCATTACTGAAATTATGACCTGATTAGAAAATTTAAATTCGAGTTATATTTAATATATGATACACAAATTCAAAATCACACCATAAAAACATTGTTTTAAGGCTGACATATAATCAAATTATCTGGACATTGATCAACATGTTTAATAATTGTCATAAACAATTTGAGCAATTTGAGGAATACTCAAGTAAGGTAATGTTGCCATGGTTACATGACCATTATAAGGTACTCACTTTGACAGACTGGAGGTAGTCCACTCCACTGGCCCTTAGGGTCTTTCTTAATGTCTTTAGGAACACAAGATCTCTCCAGGTCTCCACTCACGTGTCTGTAGCACTTGTCACACTCCCATCTGAAGTGTGTGAGTGTCAGTAATTTAATATATAAGTATATACATTCCCATCTGAACAGTAACATATTATAGAGTGGCGTTTATTACATAGTGAGGTAGTTTATTACTAGCAGGAACCCGTATAACCCTATTTTTTCATGCTGATTTGGAGGACATTAAAGCATTTGACCCATTCAAAAAAAGGTTCAGTAATTTATTATAGAGTGATGTTGAGGAGATAAGGATGACTGAACTCTGCTTAATCTAATGTAAATCCAATTAGAAAGGAGGTAAAGAAAGTGGTTGAACATAATAAACAGATCAAGAGAAACTGAAGAAAGTGAACAGGTAAAAACACTTTACCTGAGTGTGTTAGGTTGTGTTACCTGAGTGAAGAAAGTGAACAGGTAAAAACACTCTACCTGAGTGTGTTAGGTTGTGTTACCTGAGTGAAGAAAGTGAACAGGTAAAACACTTTACCTGAGTGTGTTAGGTAGTGTTACCTGAGTGAAGAAAGTGAACAGGTAAAAACACTCTACCTGAGTGTGTTAGGTTGTGTTACCTGAGTGAAGAAAGTGAACAGGTAAAACACTTTACCTGAGTGTGTTAGGTTGTGTTACCTGAGTGAAGAAAGTGAACAGGTAAAAACACTCTACCTGAGTGTGTTAGGTTGTGTTACCTGAGTGAAGAAAGTGAACAGGTAAAACACTCTACCTGAGTGTGTTAGGTAGTGTTACCTGAGTGAAGAAAGTGAACAGGTAAAAACACTTTACCTGAGTGTGTTAGGTTGTGTTACCTGAGTGAAGAAAGTGAACAGGTAAAACACTTTACCTTAATGTGGTGGTGCAGTTGTACTCGTGGTCGTCGTTCACTAGATAAGCGTTAGAGACTGGCTCAGGAGCATCACATGTCATGTCTGGAAACGATACAGCATGTTACCGTGGTTACAATATCACACACCACTTGGTACCAGTAAAAGTCCCATTATTTTAAACGCAGTGATTGTGGGTGCGCACTAAAGAATTCACCAGACTATTTTCCTATAATCTAACAAGCTAACAGAACCATCAGTTACAGAGTGTTTCACATGAAATGTGTCTATTTTAAATTTGTTGAAAATACAGTAAGTTCTTACAAATGCAGCTAGGAGTGTGTGACAAATACTGCAAGTTCTTACAAATGCAGCTAGGGATGTGTGACTTACAAGTGCAGCTAGGGATGCAACTTATAAATGCAGCTAGGGATGTGTGACGATGAAATAATGTAAGTTCTTACAAATGCAGCTAGGGATGTGTGACGATGAAATAAAGTAAGTTCTTACAAATGCAGCTAGGGATGTGTGAGGATGATATGTTCCACGTTCCATCACTCTGACACATCAACCTGTCTTTGTCACATACGTGATAACAATCTTTAGATACTGCCTGAGTAGAGGGAGGTTGTAAATATTCTACTAATTTAATGTAAATATTGTTAAAAAGGATTTTTAATAGCTATAAGATATATTGAATAGTAAAGCTATAAGATATATTTAAGAGAGTGAATAACATTCTATTCAAAGAACAGCGATGTCACTGTTAAAAGAGTAAATAACTTACCTCTACGTCCATTATATCACCACAGTAGAATGTGTCATCTCCAGAAACCCTCTTTCCGTCTACTGAACTCTCAAACTGGCAACCACCTGGTTATATATTGATTACTGTTTTAAACAACAACAAAAGATCCGAAATTTTGTAAGAGTGTCCTTCAGTACACACTTATTTAAGTTAAATTATTATTGTTTCGTGTATAATTTCTGGGGTTAACTTCAGCTCAATATAATGACTTTTGAGTCTTATCTCACCATTATGAGTCTTATGAGGTGGTCCTAATTCACACAATATCAGGTTTCCTCTCAACCATAATACCAATCTCCTTACCTGGCCACTCTACATCATAGTTATATTTCCTCTTAACCATAATACCAATCTCCTTACCTGGCCACTCTACATCATAGTTATATTTCCTCTTAACCATAATACCAATCTCCTTACCTGGCCACTCTACATCATAGTTATATTTCCTCTTAACCATAATACCAATCTCCTTACCTGGCCACTCTACATCATAGTTATATTTCCTCTTAACCATAATACCAATCTCCTTACCTGGCCACTCTACATCATAGTTGTATCTCCTAGAGAACTCCGGTTGTCTCCATGGACACGTCTTCCTAGAGCAGGTTGGTATCTCGTGATCCCATTCACCAGAACCGTCACATGACAACGTGGCCTCTCCGTTCATTTCATAACATCCTGGGATAACTTTAATTTACATTACTTACCCAGATAACCAATGGAATTGCTTAGCATTACTGAACTAAATTGCATGCTACATTTCAAATGTATAGAAATATAAAGAGATAATGTTAAACTAGATCCCCTTACCATCATCGCACTCCAAAGTCACAACACAGTTACACTTGAAGAGATAATGTTAAACTAGATCCCCTTACCATCATCACACTCCAAAGTCACAACACAGTTACACTTGAAGTATAAAGAGATAATGTTAAACTAGATCCCCTTACCATCATCACACTACAAAGTCACAACACAGTTACACTTGAAGTATAAAGAGATAATGTTAAACTAGATCCCCTTACCATCATCACACTACAAAGTCACAACACAGTTGCACTTACCATCATCGCACTCCAAAGTCACAACACAGTTACACTTGAAGAGATAATGTTAAATTAGGGCCCTTACCATCATCGCACTCCAAAGTCACAACACAGTTACACTTGAAGTCATTGCTACAAGTCTCCTCCACAACCCGGATGTTATCCCTCAACACCAGCTCAGGGCACTCCATCTTCACACACGTTATCTCCACCCCGTCATACACACCGTCCACGTGGGATAAAGGACAGGTCTGGTTACTCGCTACTTGTGTGCAACTTCTTGTGTTGTCTCCGCCTTCTTGTCTGTAACAGGTGTTGCAGGTTGCGGTTGAGGCTTCTCCGCATTGTAGTGCTCCTGGGGGAGGGTGAGGTATTAGGCTGGGCCCTGGGGTGGGTATTAGGCTGGAGGAGGGTGGGTATTAGGCTGGGCCCTGGGGTGGGTATTAGGCTGGGGGAGGGTGGGTATTAGGCTGGAGGAGGGTGGGTATTAGGCTGGGGGGAGGGTAGGTATTAGACTGGGCCCTGGGGTGGGTATTAGGCTGGAGGAGGGTGGGTATTAGGCTGGAGGAGGGTGGGTATTAGGCTGGAGGAGGGTGGGTATTAGGCTGGAGGAGGGTGGGTATTAGGCTGGAGGAGGGTGGGTATTAGGCTGGAGGAGGGTGGGTATTAGGCTGGAGGAGGGTGGGTATTATGCTGGAGGAGGGTGGGTATTAGGCTGGAGGAGGGTGGGTATTAGGCTGGAGGAGGGTGGGTATTAGGCTGGGCCCTGGGGTGGGTATTAGGCTGGAGGAGGGTGGGTATTAGGCTGGAGGAGGGTGGGTATTAGGCTGGAGGAGGGTGGGTATTAGGCTGGAGGAGGGTGGGTATTAGGCTGGGCCCTGGGGTGGGTATTAGGCTGGAGGAGGGTGGGTATTAGGCTGGAGGAGGGTGGGTATTAGGCTGGGGGGAGGGTGGGTATTAGGCTGGGCCCTGGGGTGGGTATTAGGCTGGAGGAGGGTGGGTATTAGGCTGGAGGAGGGTGGGTATTAGGCTGGGGGGAGGGTGGGTATTAGGCTGGGCCCTGGGTGGGTATTAGGCTGGAGGAGGGTTGGTATTAGGCTGGGCCCTGGGGTGGGTATTAGGCTGGGGGAGGGTGGGTATTAGGCTGGAGGAGGGTGGGTATTAGGCTGGAGGAGGGTGGGTATTAGGCTGGAGGAGGGTGGGTATTAGGCTGGAGGAGGGTGGGTATTAGGCTGGGGGGAGGGTGGGTATTAGGCTGGAGGAGGGTGGGTATTAGGCTGGAGGAGGGTGGGTATTAGGCTGGAGGAGGGTGGGTATTAGGCTGGGGGGAGGGTGGGTATTAGGCTGGGCCCTGGGGTGGGTATTAGGCTGGAGGAGGGTGGGTATTAGGCTGGAGGAGGGTGGGTATTAGGCTGGAGGAGGGTGGGTATTAGGCTGGGGGAGGGTGGGTATTAGGCTGGAGGAGGGTGGGTATTAGGCGGGGCCCTGGGGTGGGTATTAGGCTGGAGGAGGGTGGGTATTAGGCTGGAGGAGGGTGGGTATTAGGCTGGGCCCTGGGGTGGGTATTAGGCTGGAGGAGGGTGGGTATTAGGCTGGAGGAGGGTGGGTATTAGGCTGGAGGAGGGTGGGTATTAGGCTGGAGGAGGGTGGGTATTAGGCTGGGGGAGGGTGGGTATTAGGCTGGGCCCTGGGGTGGGTATTAGGCTGGAGGAGGGTGGGTATTAGGCTGGAGGAGGGTGGGTATTAGGTTGGAGGAGGGTGGGTATTAGGCTGGGGGAGGGTGGGTATTAGGCTGGAGGAGGGTGGGTATTAGGCTGGGCCCTGGGGTGGGTATTAGGCTGGAGGAGGGTGGGTATTAGGCTGGAGGAGGGTGGGTATTAGGCTGGAGGAGGGTGGGTATTAGGCTGGAGGAGGGTGGGTATTAGGCTGGGCCCTGGGGTGGGTATTAGGCTGGAGGAGGGTGGGTATTAGGCTGGGGGAGGGTGGGTATTAGGCTGGGCCCTGGGGTGGGTATTAGGCTGGAGGAGGGTGGGTATTAGGCTGGAGGAGGGTGGGTATTAGGCTGGGGGGAGGGTGGGTATTAGGCTGGGCCCTGGGGTGGGGGTGGGTATAAGGCTGGGGGGAGGGTGGGTATTAGGCTGGGGGGGGGGAAGAGGGTGGGGGAGGGTGCAGCGGAGGGTGTAAGGAATATTTAGAAATAGGTGGAACACTTGTTTATTACGTTTATTTTTTACGGAACCTCTAGGGCAAACAAACAAACAAACAAACAAACAAACCCCACCTTTTTTGTTAGTGATGAGAGCGTTGGGAACGTTTCTCTGTCTGCACATGATAGGGGCACATTGTGGCTCGCTGTTGCTCCACACTGTGGCTGTTCCGTTCCATTTGCACGTGCGCTCGCACGTACTCGTGCATGGGAAACTGCAGCTGTTACATTGCACGTGCAGTGTGTCTCCGCACTCCAGGATTTCTCCTGATAGATATTAATATTTTTGGGTCATTTTATAAAACATCTATATTTGTGGGTACCGTAAAATTCATTAAGCTACATATTATTGTATTTGTTAAATATTCAGCCTGTATAGTGTATATTTCCGGTTGCATTTAATAGGAATATATTGTTCCTAATGTTCCTAATGTTCCTAATGTTCCTAATGTTCCTAATGTTCCTAATGTTCCTAATGTTCCTAATGTTCCTAATGTTCCTAATGTTCCTAATGTTCCTAATGTTCCTGCTGTTGCGCCTACCTTGAGAAACCTCAGCACCATTAAACAGATAGTTCCCATCCTCGTACGATGTAACAGCAGGACACTTCCTCTTCACACATGTTGGTAGCTCACCAGACCAGCTACCGTCTGGCTGGCAGGTTCTTGTAGCGTTACCTTCAATCTGGTGGAGTCTATGTTATTACCATGGTTACTGTGTTACTGTGGTTACCAGTAACTGTGTTACTGGCAGGTTCTTGTAGCGTTACCTTCAATCTGGTGGAGTCTGTGTTATTACCATGGTTACTGAGGTTACCAGTAACTGTGTTGCTGGACACCGGTTGGGAGGTGAGCGATGTCACGTATCGATATATATTATATATATAGCTCCTCGAAGTTAAAAATATAATAAACTAATAAAGAACAGTACCTCATAACAAGGACTGTCACAATAGTAGTTTATTTGGTAGGAGCAGTAGTGAGCTCCACCAGATCTGATGGATAAGTGAGCATCTCCGCTAGCTTCTACTTCCACTGCTGGGTCCGCACACTGTTTCACTGTATAGGAGTTAGGATTATAATTAGCACACTATATGGTAGTACAATTAGCACACTGTATGGTAGTACAATTAACACACTGTATATTAGTATAATTAGCTTCTTCCATCGTTAAATATTGAATATTTTGTAATCAGGAGACTTAAAAGAGAGTACAAAGGAGAGTATAAGATGAGGAGAACTTTTTTTCTTTTCTTTTTTAAAGCCCCTCGTAAGGGGGTTGTCTCTAATGGACTAATTTATTGATTACAATCATAATAAGTAAAAAATAAAGACCCCAATGGGCACTCCTGAAGACATAACTACTAGAAAATATATCAAAACTAAATAGAAAAAACTGAGGACAAATGTGATAAAATCGCATCAAACTGCAAATAATGGAAGATACATTTAGGATTCGTTATTTAATGGCACGCAGCAGATAATAAAAAACTAACGTCTGCACTCAGGTAGGGTCCCATCTCCCCACTTGTTGTTGCAGCACCCCACCTCCGGGGTCCCCGCTAGTTCATAGCACTCGTGACAGTGATAACTCGCTCGTCCGGAGCAGCAGGATTTGTCATCGAAATCCTGGTTAACATATGGTCATTACAACGTTAACAGAGGGTCATTACAATAATTATTCCGATTGCAATGTTTACAATTACCATGATTTGATGTGTCAATGATCAGAGTTGAAGTTTATTTGGGATGTATATACGGAAATTGTACATGAACCGCTTCAAGTGCTTGTAGGTGCAGAAAACCTGACAGTGGAAACTAATACCTGTCACGTGACCTGACAGTGAAAACTAATACCTGTCACGTGACCTGACAGTGGAAACTAAGCTGTCACGTGACCTGACAGTGGAAACTAATACCTGTCGCGTGACCTGACAGTGGAAACTAAAACCTGTCACGTGACCTGACAGTGGAAACTAAAACCTGTCACGTGACCTGACAGTGGAAACTAAGCTGTCACGTGACCTGACAGTGGAAACTAATACCTGTCACGTGACCTGACAGTGGAAACTAATACCTGTCACGTGACCTGACAGTGGAAACTAATACCTGTCACGTGACCTGACAGTGGAAACTAAGCTGTCACGTGACCTGACAGTGGAAACTAATACCTGTCACGTGACCTGACAGTGGAAACTAAGCTGTCACGTGACCTGACAGTGGAAACTAATACCTGTCACGTGACCTGACAGTGGAAACTAAGCTGTCACGTGACCTGACAGTGGAAACTAATACCTGTCACGTGACCTGACAGTGGAAACTAATACCTGTCACGTGACCTGACAGTGGAAACTAAGCTGTCACGTGACCTGACAGTGGAAACTAATACCTGTCACGTGACCTGACAGTGGAAACTAAGCTGTCACGTGACCTGACAGTGGAAACTAATACCTGTCACGTGACCTGACAGTGGAAACTAAGCTGTCACGTGACCTGACAGTGGAAACCAAAACCTGTCACGTGACCTGACAGTGGAAACTAAAACCTGTCACGTGACCTGACAGTGGAAACTAAAACCTGTCACGTGACCTGAACTCACCACCCAAGAGAGGGGACTAGCATTGATCTGCTTGTCAACGTTGGGAACTCTCGGATCTGCACACTCGGTAACTGAAAGAGCAATACTTATTTAACCATCACACCAGATCTGATTAAATCAATATATTTATAATATTAATCAGAGTAGTGATCGGTATTCTAGAGTAACTAATAATGACCGATAAAGGAGCAAATGAATAATGAATATCCTACGTTTGCAAGACGGAGGACTGCTACTCCACCCAGCAGTTTTGTCACCGTTAGAGACACACTGTATGTCTGAGCCCCCAGTCATCTCGTAGCAGTTACAGTTACACTCTGTTTTCGTGCACTCGTACCCCACCTGTAGTGATGTGGTTTGGTTTGTTTTTTGTTTTTCTGTTTTTTTATTATTTGTTTTTTTTTTTTTTTTTGTTTTTTAAAACTTCTCATTTTTATTATGGTATGGTTTGCTGACTTCCTTCATGCTAGGTGGTTGATAACCAACTGATATTGCTTTTTTAGAGAGTGTAAAAATGTTGTTTATACAACTAAGAATTACCTTATCTCCACAGTTGTAAGAAGCTTCACTGTCCAACAAGAACTCTACAAAGTCTGTTAACCCGGGGGTGGAACATGTCTTAACTGAAAAATTAAGTTATGAGTTTCCGTCGCTGCTCAAAGTAATTAATAACTGTGGTTTTGATTATTTCATCTCCGTGCACTTACAGGACCTTATTTGAGCGGACATTAATTGGACGCTTGATGCCGTACAGTTCTATGAATGTCTGTTCAAATAAAGTCTTTCCGTCCAAGTCCGTGGAAATATTTTAATAACTTACCCTTGCAGTCGGAGGGGTCCTTGTTCCACGAACCGTCATGTTTACACTCGATAGAATCGTGCTCATCAACATAATGACAGTTGTCTGTGAGGAGATTGTTATTAATATTTGCAGTACTCAGTAGTAATACTGAAAGACTACTGAAAAACTTATAGCTTTATAGTTTAGACGTGTTATAGAATATAGATGCTACGTTAACTTTTGAGCACATAACTCATAAGAAACTGGGGGATAAACAGAATGTTATGGAAATACCTTTAGGGTCGTATGAGATGCTCTCTTTGTAGAAGAAGGATAACTCTTTTCCTGCGTCATCAACACACTCTTTGTCGGTGTCAGGCTTTATACAGGGGTCATCTGAAAAACCAAGCTCAACTTACTTACTAATTAAGTTAATTAAAGGTAATTAACTTACTAATTAAGCTCAACTCATCACTCATCACTCATGATGTGTATTCAAATCAAAGGTTAAAAAACTTATTCTCTCGTCCCAGGGTAAAGGTGACCAGGATACCTGGGCCCCTGTGGCAAACTTCCTGTTTGTTTTATTCTGAATATTTGTTTTATTCTGAACTAACTTACTAATTAAGTTTGATGGTGATCAATGATCATGTATACATGGTTAATATAAAAGGTTGCATCTTTTTAAAAACAATTTTTAAGATATTTAAAGTTATTTTAAAAATAAAAGTATTTATAAAATCTTTAAAACTAAGTCTACTAACCACAAGGAAGGTCGGCCTCACAGCCCTCCAGTAGTGCTGCAAACCAGTACTTCTCCTGCTCCTCACAGGAACACTTGCCTGTATCTACATCTGAGGGTAAAGGGAGGGTAACAATCTACATCTGAGGGTAAAGGGAGGGTAACAATCTACATCTGAGGGTAAAGGGAGGGTAACAATCTACATCTGAGGGTAAAGGGAGGGTAACAATCTACATCGGAGGGTAAAGGGAGGGTAACAATCTACATCTGAGGGTAAAGGGAGGGTAACAATCTACATCTGAGAGTAAAGGGAGGGTAAAAATCTACATCTGAGGGTAAAGGGAGGGTAACAATCTACATCTGAGGGTAAAGGGAGGGTAACAATCTACATCTGAGGGTAAAGGGAGGGTAACAATCTACATCTGGGGGTAAAGGGAGGGTAACAATCTACATCTGAGGGTAAAGGGAGGGTAACAATCTACATCTGAGGGTAAAGGGAGGGTAACAATCTACATCTGAGGGTAAAGGGAGGGTAACAATCTACATCTGAGGGTAAAGGGAGGGTAACAATCTACATCTGAGGGTAAAGGGAGGGTAACAATCTACATCTGAGGGTAAAGGGAGGGTAACAATCTACATCTGAGGGTAAAGGGAGGGTAACAATCTACATCTGAGGGTAAAGGGAGGGTAACAATCTACATCTGAGGGTAAAGGGAGGGTAACAATCTACATCTGAGGGTAAAGGGAGGGTAACAATCTACATCTGAGGGTAAAGGGAGGGTAACAATCTACATCTGAGGGTAAAGGGAGGGTAACAATCTACATCTGAGGGTAAAGGGAGGGTAACAATCTACATCTGAGGGTAAAGGGAGGGTAACAATCTACATCTGAGGGTAAAGGGAGGGTAACAATCAGTGGCGTAACGTTGCCTGTTGGCGCCCCCCTGCCGAAAAAAGTGCCCCCCTGTTGGCGCCCCCTCCCCTTTTGGTGCCCCTCCTTAAAATTGAACAAATTAGGTGATTTTAGAGAATACGCCGGTAAAATCTCTAAAAAAGTGTGTATCTAGAGCAAAACGCGCAGTTTTGCTAGTACTTTAGTTAAGTTTTAGAAATTGTCCCACATTCAAACGACTATTTGGCGCCCCCCTAAGACGGCGCCCCCCTGCACAGCGGGGTCAGCAGGGCCTTTCGTTACGCCACTGGTAACAATCTGCATCTGAGGGTAAAGGGAGGGTAACAATCTACATCTGCGGGTAAAGGGAGGGTAACAATCTACATCTGCGGGTAAAGGGAGGGTAACAATCTACATCTGCGGGTAAAGGGAGGGTAACAATCTACATCTGAGGGTAAAGGGAAGGTAACAATCTACATCTGACGGTAAAGGGAGGGTAGCAATCTACATCTGAGGGTAAAGGGAGGGTAACAAATACAAGAGCTAGCTGCCTGTATCTACATCTGAGGGGAAAGGGAGGGTAACAAATACGAGAGCTAGCTGCCTGTATCTACATCTGAGGGTAAAGGGAGGGTAACAAATAGCTAGCACCTCTTTTCAAGATGTTTTCATCATGGAAAGTATCATCGACAACCCAGAATTTCTGACAGGTTTTTCATAGAAACTAAAATATATCTGATATGATTTATCTGTTAGTATTGAGACTGGTAAATAGCGGACTTACTGTTACAGCAGCACTCCTTGACTGCATCCACGCAGTTTGTATACCAGCTGGACGAATCCAGAACCTCAAAACATTGGTTAAAGTCACCTGAAGTATTTACCTTCAACAACAGACAAAACAATAGCTACGATATGAAAAAATTAGAGCAAATACATATAAACAGACTAAAAACAGCTCCTAACATATATATATATGTTCCTGTTGCTTTTAAAACAATTTTATCTCAGATAACGATGTTTAATAAAATGATGCAAAGACTTATTTCGAAGATCTAATCAACACCGACTTTTAATGTGTAGGAGTACAGCTACAAAATATATATATATATATATATAATAAATAGTTTTTGTTTGGTTTCCCAAAGAGAGTGCTCGACTGCAGTTAAGCAGGAGCATTTTGGAAGTTTTTTTGGAAATTTTGTAAATTTTGATAATTTTGAAAATGTTTCATGATCGATAAAAATTATTTTATAAAGGAGCAACATGTCATAGCGCTACAATTCATTATTCTATTTGGCACTGATGATTGGTATTGTTTTTATACATATCATGAAACGGATCGTTTGCCCGCCAATTTGATTTGTTTCAATTGTTCGAATTATAATGCTCCTGCTTAACTGCAGTCGAGCACTCTCTTTGGGAAACAAAACAAAAACTATTTATTAGTTATGCTCCTTCGACTCGTCGTTGTTGAGCACTCTCGTTTGATAACCAGAATCAACAATTAACTCTCAAATACGGATCCTAATTCTACCAGCTTCACGGAACTCAGTAAAGAATTTTCCTCTACCACTACACGAAGGCCAACGCAGTTTACAACTTTAAAAGCCAAAGATATCTTACTACCTTACTTCATAGACAATTTTAAAATTGGGACGGACACAATAAACTGTTTTTTTGGAAATTTTGTAAATTTTGATAATTTTGAAAATGTTTCATGATCGATAAAAATTATTTTATAAAGGAGCAACATGTCATAGCGCTACAATTCATTATTCTATTTGGCACTGATGATTGGTATTGTTTTTATACATATCATGAAACGGATCGTTTGCCCGCCAATTTGATTTGTTTCAATTGTTCGAATTATAATGCTCCTGCTTAACTGCAGTCGAGCACTCTCTTTGGGAAACAAAACAAAAACTATTTATTAGTTATGCTCCTTCGACTCGTCGTTGTTGAGCACTCTCGTTTGATAACCAGAATCAACAATTAACTCTCAAATACGGATCCTAATTCTACCAGCTTCACGGAACTCAGTAAAGAATTTTCCTCTACCACTACACGAAGGCCAACGCAGTTTACAACTTTAAAAGCCAAAGATATCTTACTACCTTACTTCATAGACAATTTTAAAATTGGGACGGACACAATAAACTGTTTTTTTGGAAATTTTGTAAATTTTGATAATTTTGAAAATGTTTCATGATCGATAAAAATTATTTTATAAAGGAGCAACATGTCATAGCGCTACAATTCATTATTCTATTTGGCACTGATGATTGGTATTGTTTTTATACATATCATGAAACGGATCGTTTGCCCGCCAATTTGATTTGTTTCAATTGTTCGAATTATATATATATATCTGAGATAAAATTGTTCTAAAAGCATATATACAGCTACAACATATATATTATATATATATATATATTACAGATAACGATCATGTATAATAAATGATGCAAAAATAAACCCTGATGATTTGAGCCATACTAATGAGTCCTAATAGGACGATCTATGGATATATAATATATATAGAGATACTGACCGGAGGGGTCCTTGAGAGGGTAGCACACTTGTTCAGCAGTTTCCTGACATTCAGATTCGTCTCTGCATAACTCGTCTACCTCTTCACCCTCCTGAAACGTTCAAATCTGCTGGTGATTTTTATATTTATTTATATTTATATCATTTGTTACTTACAGGTCAACACTTTTTTGTTTATCAAAAGTTGTGTGTGCTTAATATTTAGCTTGTATAGCAGAGTGTCAGAATAAAGAACGATGATATTTTATTGAGGCTGATAAACTTGTTCTGCAAAGTTTCAAATATTTCCGAAATCTAACCAAATACACATTTACCAAAATGAAACATACATACTAACAAGTACAATAAAACAGAAAACTGCAGCACAAGTGTGCATGTAGTGTGCATGTAGTGTGCATGTAGTGTGTGCATGTAGTGTGTGCATGTAGTGTGTGCATGTTATGAAAACTCACACAAGTAAAGTCGCCTTCTTTCCATTCCTGAATATATTTCCTCTTGTTTTCCTTGAAGGTAAACTCCATGTCATTCTCATACCGGTCAACAAACTCACGAACATGACTGAAATATTATCAACACGTGTTATGACGTCATAACACGTGGTGTGACGTCACACCACGTGTTATGACGTCACAACATACTCACGAACATGACTGAAATATTATCAATCTACATGGTCTGGATAATCAAAAAGGTTTGTAATATCATAGTCTTTTGACATGTAAAAATTTCGCTTATTGGTTTAATTCATTATCAAAGGAAGGTTTTAAATCCCTCAAATTCTCTTTTCACCTACAAAACTTCGATCTGTTAGAATTTTTCTAGTTAGCTAGTAATAGTATGGGTTATCTACCTGTTGTCAAGGAAACCACAGATTCCTTTAGTTTTCTCACGGAACAACTCCATATCATCCAAGTTAATTCTGATCTGCTGATGTCCATCAAACGAAACCTTCAATAAAATCATTTAAAAACTATTCACAATGCAAGTAAATATTTCAACCCATTCAATAACGCTGAACGTTAAATTTCACATAAAATAGTAGAATAATTACCGTAATGTTTTCAGACAGTTTCACAGTGACGACCGGAACAAATCTGCGGTCATCTTGCTGGGTTCGCACTTGGTGGTCTGCTAGAGAAATAATGTAGTCAGCTCCCTCTATAACAGAGCCCAGGTTCATTTCTATAGCGTCCACTGTTACCTGGAGACAGAATGAAATTAACTTATATGGAGAAAAATTTAAATTAACTTGCCAAAATGACAGTTTGAATATAACTATAAGTACTGTATCCAGAATGAATGTTGTTAACTGTTAAGGCTGTACCTTTGGTCCAGATTCGAGGGTTATCACCGTACTAGCTGTTTTAATCGTGAACACAGTATCCATGATCATCTCACCCTCCCTGCAAATTAGAAAACTATCGTCATAGGTTTTTAGGCTTTTAGGGGTTCTCATAGCTTTATGTTGTGACGATTATTGCATTTTCGAACTAAAATTCCAGCCTTTTTACCCATCCTCACATACTCCCTGCATGTCCCCTGTAAGGGGGTGGTGTTGCTCGTTCCAGGTTCCTGAAACTTCCCAGCAACTACCCTACCCCTCAAAATAGGTTCCCCTACCCACCTCTCATGAGTAGCGGTAACAGAGTTGTTAGTCTCAGAGGAAGCAAACACCAGCACAGAAAGACAGTCCTCGTAGTAGTTGTAAGCCATGTCATCCCACGTGACCACGCTTTTAGCGGCTTTCTTCATCTTCTCGTTGTTGTCTGAGTTCACCAGCTGCTTTGTTTGGGCTACGTAACACTTGCCGTGGTCCGGCCGCTTGTAGACTGGGGGAATTACAGTTACCATAGTAACACTACCATATTAGGTCATGTTACCATGATATGTTATTGCAAAGTATTAGGCAAAGTAACCTTTAAGGAATCAATAGTTTAGAAAATACCTCAACTGCAATGTATTGGTTCATTTTCATGAATACAAGCACTAGAGAAGTGTTATAGTCAGCTATTCCTTCTTTCTCTTTACTTACAAGGACAAATATCGAAGAGTAATCTGTTGGGGGTGGCAGCCCTGTTAGCAGATGGTGAGAGTGTGAGCGCTTCTTTAGTAGATCTGCTTAGTAGGACAGCCTTTAATCTGGCTACTTCTCCTGCCTGTTATAGTGACGTGTTACACCTTGAAGAATGTGACGTCACAGCACGTGTTGTGACGTCACACAACGTGTTATGACGTCACACCACGTGTTATGACGTCACACCACGTGTTATGACGTCACACCTTGAAGAATGGGATTATTTTTTAGATAAGGGAAATAAATTGGGGTCTTTACACAACGACAAGGAGGGGGGTTTAAAAAAACGTGAGGGGTCCCCAGTCTCCAGTTCACGCCCCCACAGCTAAGGACCCGGCATGTTAACTAACCTCTCTGATCATAAGGAGGTTCTGGATAGCAGCACCAGCGACAGCACCAGCCGCGTAGGGGGTGCCAGTCTCCTTTGTAATGCTGGTGTCGTCAGAGGAAGTTGCTACTGATACTTTCTCACCTGGGTACAGTGTATAATGCTATGTTGGCAGTACACTACAATTTAGTTGTTCTGAAGGGGTACCCTAAGAGTATTAGAATAATGAAAGATACATATTAAAATTCGGAATGAGACTGAGATTATATCCGCTAGCCTACGTTTTAAACACAAAACACCCTCGTACCTGGAGCCCAAATATCAATACATCTGCCATAGTTAGAACTGGAGGACTGAGTGTCGGTCTTGGTGGAGGAAGCCACAACCATAATACCAATCTCATCTGTCTGCGGGGGGGGGGGGGTTACAACGTTACCATAGTGACTATAGTAACCAGTTACTATCACAGTTACAACGTTACCATAGTGACTATAGTAACTAGTTACTATCACAGTTACAACGTTACCATAGTGACTATAGTAACCAGTTACTATCACAGTTACAACGTTACCATAGTGACTATAGTAACCAGTTACTATCACAGTTACAACGTTACCATAGTGACTATAGTAACCAGTTACTATCACAGTTACAACGTTACCATAGTGACTATAGTAACCAGTTACTATCACAGTTACAACGTTACCATAGTGACTATAGTAACCAGTTACTATCACAGTTACAACGTTACCATAGTGACTATAGTAACCAGTTACTATCACAGTTACAACGTTACCATAGTGACTATAGTAACCAGTTACTATCACAGATACAACGTTACCATAGTGACTATAGTAACAAGTTACTATCACAGATACAACGTTACCATAGTGACTATAGTAACCAGTTACTATCACAGTTACAACGTTACCATAGTGACTATAGTAACCAGTTACTATCACAGTTACAACGTTACCATAGTGACTATAGTAACCAGTTACTATCACAGTTACCATAGTGACTATAGTAACCAGTTACTATCACAGTTACAACGTTACCATAGTGACTATAGTAACCAGTTACTATCACAGATACAACGTTACCATAGTGACTATAGTAACCAGTTACTATCACAGATACAACGTTACCATAGTGACTATATTAACCACGCAACTATAGTAACCAGGCAACCATAGTAACCAGGCAACTATAGTAACCAGGCAACCATAGTAACCAGGCAACCATAGTAACCAGGCAATTATAGTAACCAGGCAGCTATAGTAACCAGGCAACTATAGTAACCAGGCAACTATAGAAACCAGGTAACTTAGTAACCATGCAACTATAGTAACCAGGCAAATATAGTAACCAGTTACTACCTCAGTTACAACCTTACCAAGGTGAGGTTTAGTAATTATAAATGAGATCCATTGAGGTAATTAATTGATTAATTGATTAATTAAGCAAACAGAACTAACCGGAGAAATAAAACTGCAGTGGTTGGAGGAAGAATCGCCAGCAGGTAGAACCACAAGTTGATTCTCAGCGAGTGTGTTCAGCTCACTAGGCACGGAGCCGGAGAGTGGGAAGGAAAGAAGGATTACAGCGCGGTGACCGGGGTTGGAGGATATGTGCTGCTGTACCCATTGTAGACCTGAAGTGCAGGATCAGGGTTTGGAATCTACAAAGATATTTGCTCCAGGAGTGATTATAGAGGACGTACTAGAAACTATTTTCCAGAAGCGATCACTGCCTTAAGTATATATTCGTGGCATCTAAATTCTCATCAACAGTTATACTGTTCTTTAGCAGTGTTAAGTGTTGAAGAGGGCCTGTAGATCAATAACAAACCTCGAGAAAGAGCTGACGAGGAAACACTCGTGTGACACTGTGACACTGTGCCACTGTGCCACTGTGACACTGTGATAACTGTGACACTGTGACACTGTGCCACTGTGACACTGTGATAACTGTGACACTGTGACACTGTGACACTATGACACTGTGACACTGTGACACTGTGACACTGTGACACTGTGACACTGTGAAACTGTGACACTGTGACACTATGACACTGTGACACTGTCTCACTGTGACACTGTGACACTGTGACACTGTGACACTGTGACACTGTGACACTGTGACACTGTGACACTGTGACACTGTGACACTGTGACACTGTGACACTGTGACACTGTGACACTGTGACACTGTGACACTGTGACACTGTGACACTGTGACACTGTGACACTGTGACACTGTGACACTGTGACACTGGCAGTGTGCCACTGTGCCACTGTGACACTGTGACACTGTGACACTGTGACACTGTGACACTGTGACACTGTGACACTGTGACACTGTGACACTGTGACACTGTGACACTGTGACACTGTGACACTGTGACACTGTGACACTGTGACACTGGTAGTGTTAAGTGTTGAAGAGGGCCTGTAGATCAACAACAAACCTCGAGAAAGAGCTGACGAGGAAACACTTTGTCCACAGCCCACTTTTACTGGGATCACATTAGCTCTTCTGGCTATACCGTTGTGGCCACCAATTGCTATGGAGGCAGCTCCTGGGTAGTTTGTTGTAAAACAAAAAATTTTTATTAAAGTGAACACTCGATACAAAATTTGCTATATTAAAGTGAATACTCGATACAATTTATTAACTTTTATGTTGAGTAGACAAAGACACAAAATTTGCTTCAATTTTTCAAAACTATTCGACTAACAAAATACCTGTTGCGTTATATTTATGATATTGATGCTTTTCATACAAAAAAGTTAAACCAAATTCTTTATGTCATGTATCCTGGGTAATTTCGACAGGATATGTCTGCTTAAAATACTTCCATCGCGTTACATTATATAATTCTCAAATTATTTGTTATATAGTAGTGTTGAAAGTATTAAAACTAAAATTGAATATACCTGTGGAGACACCACCACTACAGTCCTCCCGACTATCACTCCCATCGTAACTATACCCCTCCAGTACACGTGCCCCAAACTCCACGTGCGTCGCGCGCACACCACCCCCCACTACGTACACATCTCCCTCCGCTACATTCTCTATTTTACCATCAGTACCGTCTGGATGCAGCTTGAGCTCGTTTAGTCTGGGGTGGTTGTTTTATAAAGGTTTACATCTCACTGCAGTTTATAATGTTTGAAATAAAGCAGGATTTAACGTGATTTTCTATTACAATCCTATTTGAAACACGTTTGTTGTGTAATGTGTATAAGTCACCTGTCTAAAGCCCAGTCCACACCTTCAATAGCCTGGCGTCGGCTGATCCGTTTTAGCATCCAGTCAGATCCAACTTCATGAAATTCTGAAATAGTGGATTTTTCGTCAGCGGTGATTCAGAAGTTTTTTCTGATTTAAGATTTTTGTCGGAAATATTATAGTTTTTTACAAAATTTCACAATTTTTTTTAAATCGATAAATTTTACGATATATTTGACGAATCGAATAAGATTAGTGATAAATACAAATTTTTCAGCAAACTTACCACTGAAACACTCAGAAATCAAAAGCACCGCCAAGAACGTTGAAAAGGATTTCCTTGTCATTTCTGTTACAGTTACAGTCAAGTTGCTTTAACCATAAACCTATAGCAATATGTTAGTTCACCCGTTATAATATAGATATCAAATATGAATTGAATAAAAATATTAGGGAAGAAAATTAATATAATATCTGGATAGTAACATAGTAACGGTAAGTTAAAAATATTTTTTATAATGATTCACAGTTGTTCTAAAGTTTATGCTAGATCGGAAAATATACCAATCTATGGACTGAAAAAGAAAACTCGAAATTAAATGAAATAAACTTAAAAGTTAATTAATTTATCACATGATTCAATTAATTTGATTTAACGCAAATCGACAATTTATTAATTACAAAATGAAATTTTGAACAATCAATAATCATCCTCATGTAAAGAATCTAAAATAATTTTTTTACTGTTTTTAGTTTCAGTTTTTCGCACTATTAATTTGTCTCATTATCATTCAGCTCTTGTATATTGTCAAACATAAAATTAGAATTACATCAAAGTTTAACAAAGGTAAATTTATGATTCAAGTCACTATGATTTGAAAATCTATCATTTCAAATTGAGGAGCAAGTATATCATGTCCTTGTGACACTGTGACACTGTGACACTGTGACACTGTGACACTGTGACACTGTGAAACTGTGAAACTGTGACACTGTGACACTGTGACACTGTGACACTGTGACACTGTGACACTGTGACACTGTGAAACTGTGAAACTGTGTCACTGTGACACTGTGACACTGTGACACTGTGAAACTGTGAAACTGTGACACTGTGACACTGTGACACTGTGACACTGTGACACTGTGACACTGTGACACTGTGACACTGTGACACTGTGACACTGTGACACTGTGACACTGTGACACTCTCAGTCGCACACGGAGTACTCCCTATCCTCCCACACTGTTACAGACCACACAGTCTCCGGTGTACAAGTACCCAGGATACACGAGGCTGGTTTCTTTATCTGCCGCTTTACTGGGATCTTCCGGACTTCCTTCCGGCAGTCTGGAGGGGAGGGGTCACGTGTTAGTTTAGTAAGAGTAAGCAACTTAGTTTCTATCTTCAGTTTAATCAGAGTAGATGTAACACTGTGACACTGTTGTTACCATAGCTACACTACTAGTTACCATAGCTACACTACTAGTTACCATAGTTACACTACTAGTTACCATAGTTACACTACTAGTGTAGATATAACAAGCTTCTTATCACTGTCTCTACTTCTCTACTATCTCTTCAACAAGAGATATTTGGCAGAATCTACAATGAAGTTTTTTTTTTCTACAGTGAAGTTTGACATTGAGGTTTATAATTTTAGGGAAAGATTATAATTGGGTTGTGTTTAATTATCCCTGGTTTATAACTTGTATTTGATAATATCTGGCCACTAGGCTGTATTTGATAATATCTGGCCACTAGGCTGTATTTGATAATATCTGGCCACTAGGCTGGTTTACTCACCACATCTCTCAGGTAGGTCACCTGACCAGAGTCCGTCTTCTTGACACTTTGTGATCCACCCTCCTTTCAGATTAGGACACTTCACCTGACAGTGGAATAGGGGGTTGGCTGGGGAACCACTTATATATAATTATACATAATTATACATAATTAACCACTTATATATAACTGTTATCTTCATTTCCTACTCTCTAAATGCAGAGAACTCTACAGACTGTAATCTGTGTGCAGACTGTAATCACTACAGTACACGGATACGGGTACATTTCCCATTCCTAAGCAAACTAATAACAAGCAAACCTCTACAATATCCTGGAAACTGTGACCAGTGCTCGAGTGGATCCGGCCTCCCTCGGGTACTCTGAAGTTCTGCGTGCAGTTCAGTCCTGAAAACATCAACCTGGTTACCTATAATTCTCAGAGGACTGTTACTCAAAAGTGATAATAGCATTACGAAGTACTAAGTATTTATTGGCTGAAAGTACTGAACTAAATAAGTACCAAAGTACTGAACTAAATATTAAATAACTAATAAGATTTAAGTTTATTTGACGGCTGAAAGTACTGAACTAAATAAGACACGTACGTTTACAAAGAGGCTCGTCTCCACTCCAGACCCCCGAAGCAAGACAGTGCCTAGTAGCTTCACCCACCACCTCGTAACCAGGGTAACATACGTACTCTACAAATGATTCGTACGAGTTGGAGTCCGTAGAGACTATGTATCCGTTAGTGGGTTGATTTAACCGGGGGCATTCGTCACCTGGAGTAATATAGTGTTAGTAAAGTGTTAGTAAAGTGTTAGTTAAGTGTTAGTAAAGTGTTAGTGAAGTGTTAGTAAAGTGTTAGTAAAGTGTTAGTAAAGTATTAGTAAAGTGTTAGTAAAGTGTTAGTAAAGTGTTAGTAAAGTGTTAGTAAAGTGTTAGTAAAGTGTTAGTAAAGTGTTAGTAAAGTGTTAATAAAGTGTTAGTAAAGTGTTAGAGTAATGGTGGTGATACTGATAGTGATAGTCCTTCTCTTTCAATTAGGCTGCGCATTTCAGATTATTTTTTCTATATTGAGGTAACAAATGATCAAGTTGATTGAAATGCCAATATATAAGATTTACAATAAAAGTTTCAACTTACAGACACAGTAGGGAGGCGCATAGTCCCACTCTCCCTTGTGAGTGCACGTGATGGTCTTGGCCCCCCTCATCTGATAGCCGTCCTGGCACTTGTAACTCACAGTGTCTTGGTACTCGAAACTGTCGCCCTCTCTCATTCCCCAGTCAGGTACACCTGTTAATGTAACACTTCTTTATAGTTTATGACTTAATTAATTAATTAATACAGTTATTTAGATACCACATTTTTCAATTAATTATGTTATTTCGAGCCCGCCGCAAGATTTACTAATTTAAGATTTATTCACTAATACTATTACTTATAATACCAAAAGCCGCGCTCGCACTTATAAACTAACCAGGATCCCCGCAGTTATAATACTAAAAGCCGCGCTCAAGCTTTACTTATCAACTAACCAGGATCCCCGCAGACTTGTTTACTACAAGTTGGCTCCACACCCTGCCACTGTCCCTTAACACAGAGCAAGTAACTATCCCCACTTTGTTGGTACCCCTTGTTGCACGAGAACTCCAGGTAGTTAGACCTGAGGGAGGGTTATCTGTTATCTGATTTCAAACACAAGGATTTATTTTTACCAGAACTCCAAGTAGTTCGACCTGAGGAGTGAGGGAGGGATATCGGGAGCAGGACTATTGAGCGGTGGACTGTTGAGCGTAGGACTGTAGGTCGGTGAAGGTCGGAAGTAGGACTGTAGAGCGGTGTCAAATCGCCAGGGTAGGACTCTAGAGCGGCCGCCCTTATAGATCTCACAACATGAGGACTTTAGAGCGGTACGATCCTAAAATGAGGACTGTAGAGCGGTGGACTGTTGAGCGGTGGACTGTAGGCCGGTGAAGGTCGGAAGTAGGACTGTAGAGCGGCCCTCCCTTATAGATCCCATAACATGAGGACTCTAGAGCGGTACCCTCCTATAACATGAGGACTCTATAGCGGTTGAAAATTTGAAGATTGAACACTCAACGAAGCTAAGTTATACATTGTAACTCGTGATTGATTATGGTCATGACATTCTAGGATGATAACTTTATTAAAGAGTCATGGAGTTAATGAACATTTTCATTTACTTATTATAAATATTTCATTACTAATATTATAGTGTAACTTAATTTAAGATTATTGGTCGGTCTCAACGTCTTCCAAATGATTGAAATATTCCCCTGCTACTCAAAAATGTAAAACGTGTTTTCGGTATTTACCTACAATATGAGCGCTTAGCTCCAATCAGAAGCGGAGATATTTTGAAATAAGTGTGATAATTGTTGCTTGCGAGGTCCTGCTAATATAGTAAAATCGGATTTTTGGCGATTTCTCAAAAACTAAGTCTCTTAGGCCTCTCTTAGGCCTTCATAGCACTAATATAAACATGCATCTTAGGCACATTTTGGTTCATGCCTGAGGTCTGTATCTCAATCAGAAGCCGAGATAATTTATAGTGGGGGTCGCGATATGGGTGCGGTCAAAAAGGGCGTGATTCCGAGAAATGCCCGGGCACTGGTGAAAAAGTGTACCCGAGTAATTAGTGTTATTTAGGACCATATAATTCGGATTACAGCGAGAAACTAAGCGGACCTCCCATTGTGAGCTGGAATTTTGCCTGGTCCAGGATTATTTATTCAATATTCAAATTTTTTGGAAGACTTTGAGACCGACCAATAATCTTAAATTAAGTTACACTATAATATTAGTAATGAAATATTTATGATGAAAATGTTCATTAAATCCATGACTCTTTAATAAAGTTATCATCCTAGAATGTCATGACCATAATCAATCACGAGTTACAATGTATAACTTAGCTTCGTTGAGTGTTCAATCTTCAAATTTTCAACCGCTATAGAGTCCTCATGTTATAGGAGGGTACCGCTCTAGAGTCCTCATGTTATGGGATCTATAAGGGAGGGCCGCTCTACAGTCCTACTTCCGACCTTCACCGGCCTACAGTCCACCGCTCAACAGTCCACCGCTCTACAGTCCTCATTTTAGGATCGTACCGCTCTAAAGTCCTCATGTTGTGAGATCTATAAGGGCGGCCGCTCTAGAGTCCTACCCTGGCGATTTGACACCGCTCTAGAGTCATACTTCCGACCTTCACCGACCTACAGTCCTACGCTCAACAGTCCTCTGCTCAATAGTCGGGATATCATCAAGTTTACATCGTGGTAATGATATGAAAGTTCCAATAATAAAAGGACTAAACTAACCCGATAGCCTGTCTCATGCCCCCGTTCTCAGGAGTATCTATCGAAGGACACTGAATGTCCGCACACACAGGAGCGGACCCTGACCATCTCCCCTCCTCGTCACAGGTCCTGATCCTTGCCCCGTGCAGGTTGTGCAGCTCCTCACAGGCGTACTCTACTGTATCACCACACGAGTATGTTGCCTGGGAAACGGGGGTCACAAACTCTGGCTGATCCGAATGGTCTAGTAAAGAGGTAGGTAAAACAATTCTGTTGTTAAATATATATATACATATCACCGGAGACTCGCGGGCGGAACAAAATATTGCACGCGCACGCGCGTGCAATATTTCATATGTCCCCGAGGGCGCTAGCCCGAGGAGGACATATTTTCGTATAGCACGGAGGGCCCATCGGGCCCGAGTGCTATACGATTTTTCCGCCCGCGGGTCGAGGTGATGTGGATTATATCCACCAGCGGGCGTATTACAGTTAATATATAATTTTATAAATAAACAATGGAGCTTGTATAAAAGTCAACTCTAGAAAAGGTCGCCACTAATTGTTGTAACCATGGTAACACGTTACGTGTTCAATGTAAGCCAATCATAAAGGGCTGTGTCGTATATAGGGGCTGGAGATGCACTGTATTCCTGGGCCGTGGGAATAATGAATGTAATGTCAGTGACGATGAATATCAATAATATAGGGGGATTATAGTGCTGATGTGTATTATGTAGTGTGTTATAATAACGTTGATATAAATCAAAGTATCATGTCATCTGCTCACGAGCTGCATGAGCAGCCCTACCGGACACAAAAATAAAATGTATATATAGTCAGTGTAATAAGGAATTTCACATGGAGACGATACAGAAACTGAAAATATTTTAGAGAACTCCGGGCTATATTGCTACTGGTCAAATTAAATGTCACTTGTTAGCGGGCTATATCATGAGCGGGCTGTAGAGATATCGGGCCCTTTGACAGCGGGCTGGTGAGAGCCCGCTATGCGAAAAAGCGCACGCTGGTGGATATATATTTATATGCTTAGATTTAAGTTCAAAATTAAACTTTATGCAGTGCTACTTTTATTTGCGATTGTTATGAATCAATGCCAATATAAGAAGCATCACGATTCATGAGAGGCCCTACAATACAAACATTCTCACCTTTGTAGAGTCATATCCGATAATGTAACTGTTTGGCTCCTCACCAGGAGGGTAGCACACATTCTCCCTACAAGTGGGGGGTTGCTGTGGCAACCACTCCCCATCATAACACGTCAGGTCTCTGTAACCCTCCAGACTGTAACAGGTATCACAACTGTAGGAAGCTACCCCGCCCTCCTTGAGGGAGCTGCTGTTATAAGACACTGTTCCGTTATCAGGTTGGGTGGGTGCCTCGCAGGTCTCTCTCGAGCACCGTGGTGGGGAGTCTGACCAGGAACCATCCTCCATACAAACCTGTAGGGAGCACATACTTATTACTTTATTAATAATGATATCGCTTGCTTGTAATAGAGCTGAGTAATAGGTATAACATCTGATTAGGTTATTATAGTAGTTTGTGTAACGGTCGATATATAACTCAAATTATAGGCACTATCCGTCGCGGAGTCGAGTCCGCGGCGGAGCCGCCGGACTTCGAGCGGACTCCGAGCGGACTCCGGCGGAGCCGCCGGACTCCGAGCGGACTCCGGCGGTGCTCCGCCAAAATGTATTTACAGTGGACTCGAGTACATTTTGGCGGACTCCGAGCGGAGCCGAGCGGACTCCGAGCGGACTTTAAAGTCCGCCGCGGACTCCGAGCGGCTCCGCGGCGGCTCGGTGGAGTGTCCGCCGCGGACTAAGCCACTAGGCGGACTCCGGTCCGCCGCGGACTCCGGCGGAGTGCTTGGCGGACTCCGCCGGACCTCTCCGCCAGACTTGAATCCGGCGGAGTCCGGCGGAGCTTGGCGGAGTCCGCCAGCTCGGCGGACTCCGCTCGGAGTCCGCCGGACTCCAACAGAGTCCACTGACTTCCGACTTCCGTCTTCCGACCCTCGGCTAAATTTGTCACGTGACATACAACATAGAATTTTGCAATATTGTGGTCAGATGAAAAGGTCGCTAGTGATAAACCTTAACCATTACCCTCACAATGTCAATAGTGTACAACTCTAGTCCTAACTTTGACCCTATAATGTATAAACGTTGACCCTAACCCTCCACCAAACCGTCCGCAGCGAAATATCAATGTCATTGACTGGTCACGTGACCAAAACAATTTTTGTCATATTATCTCATATGGGGAAGCGTTTTTAGTTTTACCCTACACGTTGCATGTGGCGTCATTCGGCCGGATCCCAGCAAGCAAAAATTTGACGGATGTTACTCGTCTAAATTTCTTCGAAGTAGCGCGCGCCGCTTTCTTCTCGACGGCACGAGCTACGAAGTAGCGCGCGCCGGGCCAGATCATTAACAATGGTCAAGCAAAAATACGTCGACCATCACAGGACGACGCCAGCCAGCACTCTCTACGCTCTTCGAGCTCCGATCGTCCTGTGACGAAGTAAGGACGAAGCCTGAGGTCCTCAGGTAACATTGACCACCGATTGAAAATTCAAAGATTTTTTGACATAAAGGTCAAATGTAAAACTAAAATCTTGATGCTGATTGATTGACGACGTCAATTTTTGAGCACAGCGCGAGCGCATGCGGAAAAGGACCGCGTAGCTAGTCAAGATGTTGATAAATATTTGGCTTGTGGCGCGATGTGTTGCTCTAACTATAGCCCTCTCGCTTGCAGTAGCGCGCGACCGCCGGAAATGACTTGTGGAACAAGCGCGCCCGCAGCGGCGCGAAAGCACCTGGTTAGCTAAATGAACGCGATGTGCCTTGCATTGTAGGATAAAATCCTACTAGCTGACGCCACTCGCAGCTGTGATGTTCGCTGTACGTCAGCGATCGAAATTTATACGCGTATCATCCGTTAAGATGTGCCACCCGACGCGCCACGCAATTTTTCTCGTTGCTCGTCGCACGTCGACGCCCTCATTAAATTTTTGGAGAAAATCGCTCGCCAAAATTTCGATCGTGCTAAATCACTCTACAGTCGATCTTCGAGATTGTTCTAAAAGGGCCCCCGACGGTTGTAACCAACTTCAATCGATGTATTTTCGGACGCTGATTCCGAATCACCCTCCATGACATAGGGTTAAAATGCTCCCCTGACGAGATATTGGCGAAAAACTGTCTCGATCACGTGATATGACCGTATAAGGAAGTTAATTTAATTTCTCATTAGGGTTAGGGTTTCAGCATATGTTTTTGTTAAGGATAGGGTTAGGGTTAGGGTTGGGATCAGATTAGAGGGTTAGGGTTTCGAAAAGTCGTTCAGAACCAGCTAGAGAACGGGTTGAAAAAGTCACGTGACAGTCGAGTGTAGAGTGATTAATCATCATCCAAAATTTGTTGGACCAGGACGATGTCCTAGTCTGGCAGCTCATTGCGCGGCGCGTCGCAACGAGCTTCGTTGTTCGTCGACGTGCGACGAGCAACGAAAAAAATTGTGTGGCGCGTCGAGTGGCACATCTTAACGGGGGATACGCGTATAAATTTCGATCGCTGACGTACAGCGAGCAGCACAGCTGCGAATGGCGTCAGCTAGTAGGATTTCATCCTACAAGGCACATCGCGTTTACCTAGCTAACCAGGTCATTTCCGCCTCCGGCGGTCGCGCGCTACTGCAAGCGAGAGGGCTATAGTTAGAGCAACACATCGCGCCACAAGCCAAATATTTATCAACATCTTGACTAGCTACGCGGTCCTTTTCCGCAATATGCGCTCGCGCTGTGCTCAAAAATTGACGTCGTCAATCAATCAACATCAAGATTTTAGTTTTACATTTGACCTTTATGTCAAAAAATCTTTACTGGGCCGCGCTCAGCCTGTCATTCCGCCAAATCTTTATTTATGAACATAATAGCCTGGGGTCCCCAGGTAAAAAAATCTTTGAATTTTCAATCGGTGGTCGATGTTACCTGAGGACCTCAGGCTTCGTCCTTACTTCGTCACAGGACGATCGGAGCTCGAAGAGCGTAGAGAGTGCTGGCTGGCGTCGTCCTGTGATAGTCGACGTATTTTTGCTTGCTAAAAACGCTTCCCCATATTATGAGATAATATGACAAAAATTGTTTTGGTCACGTGACCAGTCAATGACATTGATATTTTGCTGCGGACGGTTTGGTGGAGGGTTAGGGTCAACGTTTATACATTATAGGGTCAAAGTTAGGACTAGAGTTGTACACTATTGACATTGTGAGGGTAATGGTTAAGGTTTATAGCGATTTTTATCACTAGCGACCTTTTCATCTGACCACAATATTGCAAAATGCTATGTTGTATGTCACGTGACAAATTTAGCCGAGGGTCGGAAGACGGAGGTCGGAAGTCAGTGGACTCTGTTGGAGTCCGGCGGACTCCGAGCGGAGTCCGCCGAGCTGGCGGACTCCGCCAAGCTCCGCCGGACTCCGCCGGATTCAAGTCTGGCGGAGAGGTCCGGCGGAGTCCGCCAAGCACTCCGCCGGAGTCCGCGGCGGACCGGAGTCCGCCTAGTGGCTTAGTCCGCGGCGGACACTCCGCCGAGCCGCCGCGGAGCCGCTCGGAGTCCGCGGCGGACTTTAAAGTCCGCTCGGAGTCCGCTCGGCTCCGCTCGGAGTCCGCCAAAATGTACTCGAGTCCACTGTAAATACATTTTGGCGGAGCACCGCCGGAGTCCGCTCGGAGTCCGGCGGCTTCGCCGGAGTCCGCTCGGAGTCCGCCTGGAGTCCGGCGGCTCCGCCGCGGACTCGACTCCGCGACGGATAGTGCCAAATTATACAATAGAAGACGGGAAGCTACAAACCGTTTCTTCTCTCCCCACTAACTCGTACCCATCTTTACATTCATAATATATCAACGTATGTAGAGGGTAGGAGTCCCTCTTCATAGGCTCCGGGGTAGGCAGCATGGAGGGGTCCATGTTGTCACTATTGGGGGTGCTGAGAATATATTTCAGCAATACTCATAGATAAAAATTATTCAAACAATATATACATAATTGTATAATATATTCCCTGTCTCAAAAATTTGGAGAAACATTTGAAAATCACCCTTGGCCTTGTGGCTCCAAATTCAAATCTAAACTATTGACAAAGTTCTTTCTCGCACCTGATAATATAGTAGTCTCCGTTTTTAATGTCCAGCTCATAAGCCGAACAAGGGTTAGGTTGGCAGGTGGGTGGAGAGCCGGACCACTTTCCATTCTCCTGACAAGTAAGACTAGTGGGTCCGGTGAGAGTGTAGCCGGAGTAACACTGGAACGTTCTCGTGCTGCCGCAGTAGCCTGAGTAGCTGTTGTCGCTGTAGTTACCGTTACTGAGGAGAGAGACAGTTAGCTGCAGTAGTAGTGACGTCATCAGGAGTAGTGACGTCACCAGGAGTAGTGACGTCACCAGGAGTAGTGACGTCACCAGGAGTAGTGACGTCACCAGGAGTAGTGACGTCACCAGGAGTAGTGACGTCACCAGGAGTAGTGACGTCACCAGGAGTAGTGACGTCACCAGGAGTAGTGACGTCATCAGGAGTAGTGACGTCACCAGGAGTAGTGACGTCACCAGGAGTAGTGACGTCACCAGGAGTAGTGACGTCATCAGGTTAGCTGCAAGGCGAACAACTTGTTTGATTTTGGCATCATGATTATAAAACATCTAATATGAAATATAGAACAAACATGTGACATGCACGGTGCACCTGAACTTGATGATATCACACTTAATGAGCTTGCAGTAAGGTAGCTCCTCTGACCATGTCCCATCTGCTTGGCAGGTGTGGTCCGAGGATCCTGGACTAACTCCGTTATATGGAGTATGCATCTCGTAGCAACTGAGGGAGTTACAGTGGTTTTATTAAGAATATTATATTGTTGACTTTTTGAAAATAGTTACCCTCGCACAAGATTATTTTCAATTTTCTTGTTGTGTTCCACAACTCTGTGTTAAAAGTATCACCAGGATTACTTCAGGAATACTTCATGAATAACTCACCTATCACACTTGACTCTCACCCGATCCCCATAACACTGAGTATCATCCAGCTCTTCTACCTGCGAGGATTTAAAATTACAAGCTTATCACAAAACAGTATATCCACCACGTGACACAAACCAACCAATCAGATCACAGTATTAGTACCACGTGACACAAACCAACCAATCAGACCACAGTATTCACACCACGTGGCACAAACCAACCAATCAGAGCACAGTATTAGTACCACGTGACACAAACCAACCAATCAGAGCACAGTATTTACACCACGTGACACAAACCAACCAATCAGAGCACAGTATTCACACCACGTGACACAAACTAACCAATCAGAGCACAGTATTAAGACCACGTGACACAAATCAACCAATCAGAACACAGTATTCACCCCACTTAACACAAACTAACCAATCAGAGCACAGTATTTACCCCACTTGACACAAACTAACCAATCAGAGCACAGTATTCACACCACGTGACACAAACCAACCAATCAGACCACAGTATTTACACCACGTGACACAAACCAACCAATCAGAGCACAGTATTTACACCACGTAACACAAACCAACCAATCAGAGCACAGTATTCACACCACGTGACACAAACCAACCAATCAGAGCACAGTATTCACACCACGTGACACAAGGAACTAACACAGGGTTACCCACCTGTCCATTGAGGAGGAGTTGTCTCCGAGGGCAGCACTTCTTCTGGCACTGTGGTACTTCACTATTCCACTGAGAATTGCTTTGACAGAACAGGGACTTCACTCTCCCTCTTACCTGGTAACCTTCGTCACATTGAACTTCCTGAGAGCAAGTAGTTACAACGCTGGATCTAACTATGTATAATCTAAGAACAATTCTACGCTCCATCAAATCGATTCCTCTAAAAGTCAAATCATCGAGATATATAAATGTTCAAAATTAAATGAAATTAAAATGAAAAGTCAAAACCTCAGCTACATATCAAAATATAAACCCTACCAAATGTTGACTGCAGTCAAATTCAGAAAGTGTGTAGCAAGTTCGTTCCAATCTGGGTCCGTAGCAAACTTTGTTACGGATTGGAATGAGTTTACTGTTGGGGCCTGCTGTTACTTTAGGACATTGTATCCTGTTACACGTGGGAAGCTCTGTTGGTTCCCACAAGCCAGACGGGTTCCGCTTGTCGCTGAAAAGTTTGTTTTACTGTGCTCTGATTGGTTAGTTTGTGTCACGTGGTGTGAATACTGTGCTCTGATTGGTTAGTTTGTGTGTTTGCGGATGGGTTCCGCTTGTCGCTGAAAATTTTAACTGTTTCATGATTTGTGGTGTAGGTTAAGTGTTTTAGTGAGTGAGTTTTTTTAAGCAATGAGCATATTTTCAATCAAAACCACGATTTAAAAACTACCGAAAGAAGCCACTATTCCCCTAAAAAAGCGAGTATTCCCCAAACTACTAACTTATCAGTGCAGGTAAAAGTAAGCTCCTCCTTTGCCTGGTGACAATAATCACAGTCGTAAGTAACACTGCTCATATACACATACTCCTCCTCCTCCTCTAATACAGGGGAGTACTTGCCGTTCTGGACTTCTCGGGGGGTGTTGCAGGTCTTTACCTGTAAAAGGAGGGAGTGAGGGAGTGAGGGAGTGAGGGAGTGAGGGAGTGAGGGAGTGAGGGAGTGAGGGAGTGAGGGGAGTGAGGGAGTGAGGGGAGTGAGGGAGTGAGGGGAGTGAGGGAGTGAAGGAGTGAGGGAGTGAAGGAGTGAGGGAGTGAGGGAGTGAAGGAGTGAGGGAGTGAGGGAGTGAGGGAGTGAGGGAGTGAGGGAGTGAAGGAGTGAGGGAGTGAAGGAGTGAGGGAGTGAAGGAGTGAGGGAGTGAGGGAGTGAGGGAGTGAGGGAGTGAGGGAGTGAAGGAGTGAGGGAGTGAAGGAGTGAGGGAGTGAAGGAGTGAGGGAGTGAAGGAGTGAGGGAGTGAGGGAGTGAGGGAGTGAGGGAGTGAGGGAGTGAGGGAGTGAGGGAGTGAGGGAGTGAGGAAGTGAGGGAGTGAGGGAGTGAGGGAGTGAGGGAGTGAGGGAGTGAGGGAGTGAGGGAGTGAGGGAGTGAGGGAGTGAGGGAGTGAGGGAGTGAGGGAGTGAGGGAGTGAGGGAGTGAGGGAGTGAGGGAGTGAGGGAGTGAGGGAGTGAGGGAGTGAGGGAGTGAGGGAGTGAGGGAGTGAGGGAGTGAGGGAGTGAGGGAGTGAGGGAGTGAGGGAGTGAGGGAGTGAGGGAGTGAGGGAGTGAGGGAGTGAGGGAGTGAGGGAGTGAGGGAGTGAGGGAGTGAGGGAGTGAGGGAGTGAGGGAGTGAGGGAGTGAGGGAGTGAGGGAGTGAGGGAGTGAGGGAGTGAGGGAGTGAGGGAGTGAGGGAGTGAGGGAGTGAGGGAGTGAGGGAGTGAGGGAGTGAGGGAGTGAGGGACTGAGGGAGTGAGGGAGTGAGGGAGTGAGGGAGTGAGGGAGTGAGGGAGTGAGGGAGTGAGGGAGTGAGGGAGTGAGGGAGTGAGGGAGTGAGGGAGTGAGGGAGTGAGGGAGTGAGGGAGTGAGGGAGTGAGGGAGTGAGGGAGTGAGGGAGTGAGGGAGTGAGGGAGTGAGGGAGTGAGGGAGTGAGGGAGTGAGGGAGTGAGGGAGTGAGGGAGTGAGGGAGTGAGGGAGTGAGGGAGTGAGGGAGTGAGGGAGTGAGGGAGTGAGGGAGTGAGGGAGTGAGGGAGTGAGGGAGTGAGGGAGTGAGGGAGTGAGGGAGTGAGGGAGTGAGGGAGTGAGGGAGTGAGGGAGTGAGGGAGTGAGGGAGTGAGGGAGTGAGGGAGTGAGGGAGTGAGGGAGTGAGGGAGTGAGGGAGTGAGGGAGTGAGGGAGTGAGGGAGTGAGGGAGTGAGGGAGTGAGGGAGTGAGGGAGTGAGGGAGTGAGGGAGTGAGGGAGTGAGGGAGTGAGTGAGGGAGTGAGGGAGTGAGGGAGTGAGGGAGTGAGGGAGTGAGGGAGTGAGGGAGTGAGGGAGTGAGGGAGTGAGGGAGTGAGGGAGTGGGGGAGTGGGGGAGTGAGGGAGTGAGGGAGTGAGGGAGTGAGTATTTACACCACGTGACCCCTCACCTGACACTGGAAGTCCTCTCCGTCCCAGGTCTGATCGGTACCACAGCCCCTCACACTGTCCCCACTTGAGTGGAAGTAACCTGCGTAAGTTATTATTAAATAAGATTTAGTTGCTGACACAGCTTCGATTCAGCTGACGTGCGATATGAAATCAATATGAAACCCCGAAATAAACGAGTTATACACTACTGCCACTTATACCCTTGCTATTTTTTATCTTACCTTCGTTACAAGTATATTCAATGTGGTCACCACAGTGAAACTCAGTGGAGTTAATGTCTGCATTTCCTGGAATCTCTGGTTTCCCACAGTACTTTCTCTGACAGACAGGCTCACTCCCGTTCCAGTTACCATGCTCCTCACAGGCTAGGATGTGGTACCTGGGGTACACAGAGCTGGTCTTCAAGATGGCAGGATCAGTCATAGAGTTAGGGAACTTGTAGCAGGAGTTACAGGAGAAGGTGACTACAGTCCCGTAGTGGTGGTCTGGGGTGGAGAGGTACCCCTCATCTGGTGCTTGCAGCTGAGTGCAGTTCCGGATCCTACAGACTGCTTCCGAGCCAGACCACTCTTTGGTGTTGCTGCATGTTCTGGTGAGGTCACCAGTTACCAGCTCGTAGCCGGTGTTACACTCAAACTGTGTAGCTTGGTTACACCCCGTGTTGCTGATTACCACGTGGGCGTGTTCTGGCAGTTCCAGAGGTTCACATACCTTGGGGAGACAGGTGGGGAACTTGCCTTGCCAGGACCCCTTGGTGCAGTCAGTGGGGTGGGTTCCCTTGCACTCCACCTCAGCACAGTTGCAGTCTCCAGGATCCTCCATCTCGTAGCACTCATCACACTCGTATCTGATAAGCCGGCCACACTGGTAATCACTCCCATCTGTCACGAACGAGGCGTGGTCGAATTCTTGCGGAGGTTCACACTTCTTAACATTGACTACAGGTTCCTGAGTCTTCCACTCCCACTCCCTAGCCATGTTGCAGCGGACAGCAGTGTCCCTAGAGTCACCCTCTCTACACTTATCAGTGTAGAAACACTCCTCGCACTCCAACTGGCGAGTGCTACCACAGGTGATGTGTTCCCCGGGAAAGGAGCACTGAGTGTCCACAAAGGGGAGCTCACTGCACTCTTTTAGAGAACAGGTTGGGATGTTAGCAGACCACTGTTTGTTGGGGAGACAGGTGTGGGTCAGCTCCCCATCCAGTGCTTCGTAACATTCCTTACACTCCAGCTCCACCTCCTTCCCGCACAGCACAGCAGACTCCATTGAGGTGTCTGTGTATCTAATGTGTTGAGAGGGGTCAGGGGTTCTAGCTGGACAGGACTTCCTGGAGCACACCTCGTCCTGGTTAGTCCAGGTCCCTGGGTGCTGACACTCTCTTCGTGGTGCTGTCTCGTAGTGCTCCTCTCCACTGGGGAAAATAGGGAGTTAAACAAGTGAACACTTCAACAGGGTGATAAATATAATATCATAGTATTGAAACGTTAATCATAGGGTCCAAGTTCAGAATCGAAATCTGTCCAGTATCCATTATCCAACTGCAAAGTTTTGTCAACTAATATATAACTAACTACTACTACTATGTCAGAACTAAGTGTAAGCAAAAGTGTGATATTCCATCAAGATGAGTTACCTGTTATACTCATAGCACTCCTGGCACGCAACATCCACCCTCTGACACACGTGATCCCCTCCGCAAACTTCCCGCTGTTCCTCGTCCCCTACACTTGTGTAATTGTAAGTCATGATCACCACATCGTAGGTGGGGTCCCCACTTCTTATCTCCGATATAGCGGGGCAGCACACCGGCACACACTCGGGCTGGTCCCCATCAAACTGCCATTCCTCGTCCACTGTACACCTGGCTGAGGCTGCTCCACTCAACTTGAAACAGGAGGGGCAGGAGAACTGGATAGTGGAGCCGCAGGAGAAGGAGGGACCGTGGGAGACTAGAGGGTCGGATAGCATTGGGGGGAGGCACTCCAGGACTGAAATATTTATTGTTAGCCGCAGGAGAAGGAGGGACCGTGGGAGACTAGAGGGTCGGATAACAATGGGAGGAGGCACTCCAGGACTGAAATATTTATTGTTGGCACACATTTGGGTTTAGATGTTGATTGCTACCACGTCAACTGTTTTTGTTTCTCTGGTTAATTTATATATTTGTATCATTTTAGACACCTGGATGTTTACAGGCTTACAGGGGTTTACAGGAATGTCTAGAGATCTCACAAGAACTGCCTATAATCTAAACTTACTGAAGCAAGTAGGAGGATCAGCAGGGAACCAAGATGTTTCGTTAGTCCCACTAACTGGCTTACAGGATCTCTCTGAACTTCCGTCCAACTCCCAGCATCTGGGAGTTTAGTAATCAATAACTACAGATTATTGGAATGAACTACCGTCCAACTCCCAGCATCTGAGAGTTTAGTTATCAATAACTACAGATTATTGGAATGAACTACCGTCCAACTCCCAGCATCTGAGAGTTTAGTAATCAATAACTACAGGTTATTGGAATGAACTACCGTCCAACTCCCAGCATCTGGGAGTTTAGTAATCAATAACTACAGGTTATTGGAATGAACTACCGTCCAACTCCCAGCATCTGAGAGTTTAGTAATCAATAACTACAGGTTATTGGAATGAACTACCGTCCAACTCCCAGCATCTGAGAGTTTAGTAATCAATAACTACTGGTTATTGGAATGAACTACCGTCCAACTCCCAGCATCTGAGAGTTTAGTAATCAATAACTACTGGTTATTGGAATGAACTACCGTCCAACTCCCAGCATCTGAGAGTTTAGTAATCAATAACTACAGATTATTGGAATGAACTACCGTCCAACTCCCAGCATCTGAGAGTTTAGTAATCAATAACTACAGATTATTGGAATGAACTACCGTCCAACTCCCAGCATCTGGGAGTTTAGTAATCAATAACTACAGATTATTGGAATGAACTACCGTCCAACTCCCAGCACCTGAGAGTTTAGTAATCAATAACTACAGGTTATTGGAATGAACTACCGTCCAACTCCCAGCATCTGAGAGTTTAGTAATCAATAACTACAGATTATTGGAATGAACTACCGTCCAACTCCCAGCATCTGGGAGTTTAGTAATCAATAACTACAGGTTATTGGAATGAACTACCGTCCAACTCCCAGCATCTGAGAGTTTAGTAATCAATAACTACAGATTATTGGAATGAACTACCGTCCAACTCCCAGCATCTGAGAGTTTAGTAATCAATAACTACAGGTTATTGGAATGAACTACCGTCCAACTCCCAGCATCTGAGAGTTTAGTAATCAATAACTACAGGTTATTGGAATGAACTACCGTCCAACTCCCAGCATCTGAGAGTTTAGTAATCAATAACTACAGATTATTGGAATGAACTACCGTCCAACTCCCAGCATCTGAGAGTTTAGTAATCAATAAGTACAGGTTATTGGAATGAACTACCGTCCAACTCCCAGCATCTGGGAGTTTAGTAATCAATAACTACAGGTTATTGGAATGAACTACCGTCCAACTCCCAGCATCTGAGAGTTTAGTAATCAATAACTACAGAGTATTGGAATGAACTACCGTCCAACTCCCAGCATCTGAGAGTTTAGTAATCAATAACTACAGATTATCTGAACTACCGTCCAACTCCCAGCATCTGAGAGTTTAGTAATCAATAACTACAGATTATTGGAATGAACTACCGTCCAACTCCCAGCATCTGAGAGTTTAGTAATCAATAACTACAGATTATTGGAATGAACTACCGTCCAACTCCCAGCATCTGAGAGTTTAGTAATCAATAACTACAGATTATTGGAATGAACTACCGTCCAACTCCCAGCATCTGAGAGTTTAGTAATCAATAACTACAGATTATTGGAATGAACTACCGTCCAACTCCCAGCATCTGAGAGTTTAGTAATCAATAACTACAGATTATTGGAATGAACTACCGTCCAACTCCCAGCATCTGAGAGTTTAGTAATCAATAACTACAGATTATTGGAATGAACTACCGTCCAACTCCCAGCATCTGAGAGTTTAGTAATCAATAACTACAGGTTATTGGAATGAACTACCGTCCAACTCCCAGCATCTGAGAGTTTAGTAATCAATAACTACAGGTTATTGGAATGAACTACCGTCCAACTCCCAGCATCTGAGAGTTTAGTAATCAATAACTACAGGTTATTGGAATGAACTACCGTCCAACTCCCAGCATCTGGGAGTTTAGTAATCAATAACTACAGGTTATTGGAATGAACTACCGTCCAACTCCCAGCATCTGAGAGTTTAGTAATCAATAACTACAGATTATTGGAATGAACTACCGTCCAACTCCCAGCATCTGAGAGTTTAGTAATCAATAACTACAGGTTATTGGAATGAACTACCGTCCAACTCCCAGCATCTGAGAGTTTAGTAATCAGTAACTACAGATTATTGGAATGAACTACCGTCCAACTCCCAGCATCTGAGAGTTTAGTAATCAATAACTACAGATTATTGGAATGAACTACCGTCCAACTCACAGCATCTGAGAGTTTAGTAATCAATAACTACAGGTTATTGGAATGAACTACCGTCCAACTCCCAGCATCTGAGAGTTTAGTAATCAATAACTACAGATTATTGGAATGAACTACCGTCCAACTCCCAGCATCTGAGAGTTTAGTAATCAATAACTACAGATTATTGGAATGAACTACCGTCCAACTCCCAGCATCTGAGAGTTTAGTAATCAATAACTACAGATTATTGGAATGAACTACCGTCCAACTCCCAGCATCTGAGAGTTTAGTAATCAATAACTACAGATTATTGGAATGAACTACCGTCCAACTCCCAGCATCTGAGAGTTTAGTAATCAATAACTACAGATTATTGGAATGAACTACCGTCCAACTCCCAGCATCTGAGAGTTTAGTAATCAATAACTACAGGTTATTGGAATGAACTACCGTCCAACTCCCAGCATCTGAGAGTTTAGTAATCAATAACTACAGGTTATTGGAATGAACTACCGTCCAACTCCCAGCATCTGAGAGTTTAGTAATCAATAACTACAGATTATTGGAATGAGCTACCGTCCAACTCCCAGCATCTGAGAGTTTAGTAATCAATAACTACAGGTTATTGGAATGAACTACCGTCCAACTCCCAGCATCTGAGAGTTTAGTAATCAATAACTACAGATTATTGGAATGAACTACCGTCCAACTCCCAGCATCTGAGAGTTTAGTAATCAATAACTACAGGTTATTGGAATGAACTACCGTCCAACTCCCAGCATCTGAGAGTTTAGTAATCAATAACTACAGGTTATTGGAATGAACTACCGTCCAACTCCCAGCATCTGAGAGTTTAGTAATCAATAACTACAGATTATTGGAATGAACTACCGTCCAACTCCCAGCATCTGAGAGTTTAGTAATCAATAACTACAGATTATTGGAATGAACCGTCCAACTCCCAGCATCTGGGAGTTTAGTAATCAATAACTACAGATTATTGGAATGAACCGTCCAACTCCCAGCATCTGAGAGTTTAGTAATCAATAACTACAGATTATTGGAATGAACTACCGTCCAACTCCCAGCATCTGAGAGTTTAGTAATCAATAACTACAGATTATTGGAATGAACTACCGTCCAACTCCCAGCATCTGAGAGTTTAGTAATCAATAACTACAGATTATTGGAATGAACTACCGTCCAACTCCCAGCATCTGAGAGTTTAGTAATCAATAACTACAGATTATTGGAATGAACTACCGTCCAACTCCCAACATCTGAGAGTTTAGTAATCAATAACTACAGATTATTGGAATGAACTACCGTCCAACTCCCAGCATCTGAGAGTTTAGTAATCAATAACTACAGATTATTGGAATGAACTACCGTCCAACTCCCAGCATCTGAGAGTTTAGTAATCAATAACTACAGGTTATTGGAATGAAAAGGTTACTTGTACTCCCAGCATCTGAGAGTTTAGTAATCAATAACTACAGATTATTGGAATGAACTACCGTCCAACTCCCAGCATCTGAGAGTGTTGTAATAAATAACTACAGGTTATTGGAATGAACTACCGTCCATCTCCCAGCATCTGAGAGTTTAGTAATCAATAACTACAGATTATTGGAATGAGCTACCGTCCAACTCCCAGCATCTGAGAGTTTAGTAATCAGTAACTACAGATTATTGGAATGAACTACCGTCCAACTCCCAGCATCTGAGAGTTTAGTAATCAATAACTACAGATTATTGGAATGAACTACCGTCCAACTCCCAGCATCTGAGAGTTTAGTTATCAATAACTACAGATTATTGGAATGAACTACCGTCCAACTCCCAGCATCTGAGAGTTTAGTAATCAATAACTACAGATTATTAGAATGAACTACCGTCCAACTCCCAGCATCTGAGAGTTTAGTAATCAATAACTACAGATTATTGGAATGAACTACCGTCCAACTCCCAGCATCTGAGAGTTTAGTTATCAATAACTACAGATTATTAGAATGAACTACCGTCCAACTCCCAGCATCTGAGAGTTTAGTAATCAATAACTACAGATTATTGGAATGAACTACCGTCCAACTCCCAGCATCTGAGAGTTTAGTAATCAATAACTACAGATTATTGGAATGAACTACCGTCCAACTCCCAGCATCTGAGAGTTTAGTAATCAATAACTACAGATTATTGGAATGAATTACCGTCCAACTCCCAGCATCTGGGGGTTTAGTAATCAATAACTACAGGTTATTGGAATGAATTACCGTCCAACTCCCAGCATCTGAGAGTTTAGTTATCAATAACTACAGGTTATTGGAATGAATTACCGTCCAACTCCCAGCATCTGAGAGTTTAGTAATCAATAACTACAGATTATTGGAATGAACTACCGTCCAACTCCCAGCATCTGAGAGTTTAGTAATCAATAACTACAGATTATTGGAATGAACTACCGTCCAACTCCCAGCATCTGAGAGTTTAGTAATCAATAACTACAGATTATTGGAATGAACTACCGTCCAACTCCCAGCATCTGAGAGTTTAGTAATCAATAACTACAGATTATTGGAATGAACTACCGTCCAACTCCCAGCATCTGAGAGTTTAGTAATCAATAACTACAGGTTATTGGAATGAACTACCGTCCAACTCCCAGCATCTGAGAGTTTAGTAATCAATAACTACAGATTATTGGAATGAATTACCGTCCAACTCCCAGCATCTGAGAGTTTAGTAATCAATAACTACAGGTTATTGGAATGAACTACCGTCCAACTCCCAGCATCTGAGAGTTTAGTAATCAATAACTACAGATTATTGGAATGAACTACCGTCCAACTCCCAGCATCTGAGAGTTTAGTAATCAATAACTACAGATTATTGGAATGAATTACCGTCCAACTCCCAGCATCTGAGAGTTTAGTAATCAGTAACTACAGGTTATTGGAATGAATTACCGTCCAACTCCCAGCATCTGAGAGTTTAGTAATCAGTAACTACAGGTTATTGGAATGAACTACCGTCCAACTCCCAGCATCTGAGAGTTTAGTAATCAATAACTACAGATTATTGGAATGAATTACCGTCCAACTCCCAGCACCTGGGAGTTTAGTAAATTTTAATATAGTCAAATTCCACTTATATTTGTTAATATTAGTATTATTATTATGGGGAGGGACGAGTTATTTTATTAATGTTTTTATGTTTTTATTATCTTGACAGTTGCTGTTGTAACTCAAGATTTGAAATTTGTATTCCTTGTATTCCTTGTATTCCTTGTATATCTTGTAGTAATCAATAACTACAGATTATTGGAATGAACGGGTTACTTGTAATATGTGGACAATTATACTGCTCAACAGCTTTATCACTTTATTGAAATGATGGAAACGCCAGATCTTACCACTTCTGAACAATATAACCTACAGCAGGCTACGTGCCTGACCTACAGGCCCAACTTTTCACCCCCAAAATAACCCCTCAAAAGTACATCACCTCCAAAAGTTACAAAAACAACTACTTACTCGTCATCACAAGAATATTGTATCGGTTCCTTGCAGGAGTAGATCTCTCTTACTGGGTTCAGAACTAAATGGTCTGTTAGCTCCTCTGGTTTATTGCACAACTTCACTGTTGTGGAGAATGTGGTTAGTAATCAGAAGTCTGTGGTTTAGATTCGGAACAAGTTGGAATGCTGAATTGGATATTTGTAAATGTTGTTATTCATTAAGGTAAAATATTTATTGATTTGTGATCTGATTCTCACAGATGGGGCAATATTCGCGAGTAAGAAACTCAGAGAGCTACAATATTTCCTTTCATTTACTTTGGTAGTAAATACAGTATATATTTATATATTTATTATATGATATATATTATACTTTATTAATATATAGTAAATATAGGCAGAGGTATTGCACAAGTTTACCAAAGAGCTATACATATATCCTAACAAAATATTTCCTTGTGTTTGACTTACGCTCGCATACAGGAGCAATAGTCCAGGTCTTATCTTCCTTGCACTGCACAGTCTTGTTACCCTTGAGGTTGTAGCATTGATCACACTCGTATTCGACCGGGTCGCCACACTTGTACGTCTTCACAGCCTGGGCCTGAAGGAAGGTGAGTTTGGTATTCTGTGTTTGTAACACGACATCTGTCCGACAGCACTATTTTCTTGTGTTTGATGTGATATCTCAAAATTGGCACATAGAAACTCGCTCAAACTTACACAGATTATCCGTTCTATAACCACCATATTTAATGGAAAGTTTCAAGAAAATCGTACGGTAGGATCCGACATAAACTATTGTCCGAATAACCTATTTTGGTATCCTGTGTTTGAATTGGTTGCTTACTTTATAACGGCACCATAATTTGATACCTTTGGTAACTTAATTTCTCTTATAACACTTCGACTTTTCTTCTGCTATAAAATCATACCTTTGTTGAACCATGCTAAGTTTTTAATGTAATTTGGAAGTTGACAAAATTAAAAAATTACTTTAAGATCAGAAAATATTAAATATATGAGAATCACTTACCGCACTAAATTTAGACATAATCCCATCAATCTCCTCCACAATAAACGACAAATCCTCTCCATATCCTAGTCCAAAGTTCTCTGTAACATTAACCAGTTTGGGATAGCTGGGATGCTCGCACTGCTTGATGCCACACCCGGGCACCTCCCTCTCCCACCCCACCTCTCCTGCTGCATTCTCAGTGCAGTGGATATCAACTGCTTCCAGCTCAAAGCAAGGATCACATTTAACCGTGATATATTCACCACAGTTGTAGGAATCCTTATCAGGAGCTATCTCTGTGTTGCCAGGAACAGCTGGTTTCTGGCAGGTTTTGATAGAGCAGATTGGTTCAGGCTCACTCCAGCCCCCTCCATGCAGACACTCCGCACTGTTGGAGCCTGAGGTCCTCTGGTAGCACGTGTTGCAGGTGTACGTGACCTGGTCTCCACACAGATTGTAGTTGCTGTTAGATATCTGACCATTCTCTGGGTCCCCCCTCTTCTCACATTCGTACAGAGTACACTTGGGTACTGGTTTAGACCAGGACCTGGGGAGAATCAAGTTAGACTACAACCCGGGGAGTGGAGAAGCATCGTGTTGGACATTTTATGGGATAACGGGTCTTTACAAACAAGTGAAAACAAATTTTAGATACAGTATTATTCAGAACATTGCTGGTACTACACATGTTCGTCATTCCCCCTACATTCCCCCTACATATCCCCTACATTCCCCCTACATTCCCCCTACATTCCCCCTACATTCCCCCTACATTCCCCCTACATTTCCCCTACATTCCCCCTACATTCCCCCTACATTCCCCCTACATTCCCCCTACATTCCCCCTACATACCTATCATGGAGACACTGAGCGGACTCATCCCCCTCCAGATAATAACATTTGTCACACGCGTAGTTTACTACAGCACCACATTGTTGGGAGTCTACTGTCCCGGCTCCGTTTCTAGGTTGTCCTGGTGCTGGACACTCCTTTCCTGGGTGAGGTGCAGGTTAGAGTGATGATATCAAGTCTCCGTAGTGATTGAGCCTCTAGGATGAGGCCGGGCGGGGTTCCTTATACTCCTATAGCAGATGGTAGCAAAGAGACTTACACTAAAATGTTGTCAGTAAGACTCACAACTGATTCCTCATGAAACGAAGCTAGAAGATATTGTAAGATAAGAGATAACACGTGACTTACTGACACACGCGGGCACCTCAGCTGACCAGGTCTTATCTGACTGACACCTCACCTCCTCCTCACCCTGCAGTTCGTGACACTCCTCACACGAGAACTTGATGCTTGACCCACATGTTGTCTCCAGGGAGGTCATCATACCGTTTTCTGGCGCTTCTAGTGCTGGACACTGTTTTACTAGATAGAACCGATGTTAGAACTTATAGTGAATATGACTTATGATGACTTAGGATGACTTAGGATTAAAATGTAAAAGCAATTACCTCTTAGATATTAAGTTACAGTTGCTTGTTGGTTACAAGATTGCAGTTTGGTTGTGAGGATCACGGTACAATAGAATTACCAAAGAGTCAAGGGGACTATTTCTAGTATAGAAACCCTGTAAACTCAATTAAACACTAACTTTTGCAGGAGTAAGATTGTCCGTCCCACTTAGCCTTACTCTGCCAGGGGTTGTAGTCATCAGGTTTATTTGGCTGGCATCTGTGGGTTTCACTTCCTGATATGGTTCATTGTTTCACTAAAACAACTATAAGTCTGGTATGTAAAAAAAGTAAATGATTAACATTCCTTCTATTCACTTTTACAATTGGTCCATTAAGTGTTTCACTAAAACAGCCATAAGTCTGGTATGTAAAAACGATGTGAAAGTAATTTGACCTTGTAATTAACATTCCTTGACCCTTGTATTCACTTTTACAATCTGAGCCAAATTAAACCAAAGCAACTCCTAACCTGCATCGTATTCATAACAGTCGTCCTTGCACTGGAAAGTAACGGAATCTCCACAATCATACACTGATTTAGACGGCTTGTAAATGGCATTAGATTGGGTATCATCATTCTCCGGCTTCCGGCAACTCCTTATTTGGCAGAGAGGTCTCTCTTGTCCCCAAGTTCCGTCGGGTAAGCAAGTTCTTTTGTCTGGTCCACAAAGATAGTAGCAATCCTCACAAACCTGACGTTACGGTTTTATATAAATTGAAATTTGACGCTATTTATCACAACCGAGAAGAGGAAATAATACATGGTTGAAACATTTTGGATATATGCACTTTCGTTAAGACTTTGTCACTATATCGAATTTTGATAAAATGCTTCAATTACATATACTTCAATTACATTATTATTCGCCCAATTTAACAGATTTGTCTAGTACTTACATCTTGATCTAGTGGTGTTAATTCAAATGATTAAGATATAGAAGGATAATTTAAAATCAATTTTATAATAATAACAAAAAATGATTTATATTATTATTATTATAATAAAAATAATTTAAGATAAAATTATTAAGTTAAATCAAGCTTACAACGTCAACTTGAGACCCACACTCAGTAGGACTGTTAGATCCTGTGTCAGTTATCCAAATCTTCTTGTACTCGTCCTCCGCGCTACTCAGCTTGTCTGAAATGTGCATACTTTCATTTTGAATTTCAGTTTCACTTCTCTTTCACTTTCACATTCACTTTCACTTTCACTTTCGTTTTAATTTTAATTCAACTCCCAGTTTTATAAACTCACACTGATAGAATCCTTGTCCAGCAATATGGTTTGTTGTGAGCTCGGGGCAAGTTCGAACTGAAGGAAAAACCTATGTTAAAGAACATTCTTGAAAAGTGGTCTTAACAGGTTAAACGTATATTATTAAATGTAAAATTATTAAAATTATTAAATTTAAAATTGCAAGATTACAAAACAAGACTCACTAATAACAAAACTCGTTGTTACCAACAAGACTTACTGTTACAAGAAGGACGCTCGGAGTCCCAGTCAATAGAATTGTCATCATCCACCCTACACGTACTAGAAGGAGACCCCTCTAGATCATAACACTCGTCTCCTGCAGGATCGTTCTCTCTAAAAGGAGGGGATACGTTTAGTGGGGGGTTAGGGGGCTGGGGGGTTACAGTTAGGTGGGGGGATACGTTTAGTGGGGGGTTACAGTTAGTGGGGGGGTTACAGTTAGTGGGGGGGGGTTACAGTCAGTGGGGGGTTACAGTTAGTGGGGGGGGGGGGTTACAGTTAGTGGGGGGTTACAGTTAGTGGGGGGGGGTTACGTTTAGTGGGGGGGGGGGTTACAGTTAGGGGGTGGGGGATACGTTTAGTGGGGGTTACAGTTAGGGGGTGGGGGGTTCGAAGTACAGTTAGGGGGGTTCGAAGTACAGTTAGTGGGGGGGGGGGAGTTCGAAGTACAGTTAGGGGGTTCAACGTTTAGTTAGTGGGGGGAGGGTTCGAAGTACAGTTAGGGGGGTGGGGGGTTCGAAGTACAGTTAGGGGGTTCAACGTTTAGTTAGTGGGGGGGGAGTTCGAAGTACAGTTAGTGGGGGAGGGGTTACAGTTGGGGGGGTGGGGGGTTCGAAGTACAGTTAGGGGGGTCCAACGTTTAGTTAGTGGGGGGAGTTCGAAGTACAGTTATTGGGGAGAGGTTCGAAGTATAAATTAAATTAAAGATTTTGTTGAATAAACCATAGAGATAAACATTAGAGCATTGTAATTTTGTTCACTGATACTTTATTGTATCATTGCAACTTACCGTGTTTTGCACTGATACTCTATGGTATCATTGCAAGCAGTTCGCACATTCTTTATCTCTAGTGGATACTCCAGGGTAGGGCTCTTAGGGGTGATCACAGTATCTGAGTCTACATCTAGGAGAGTCAGTCCAGCGAGCATCCTCCTCACAGGTCACATGTGACCCATCCTCAGGGTACATGTCGTAGCAGATATCACACTCGAACTCCACTGAGTCACCACACTCTAGTCCCTGCAGGGTGTATTGTTTCATCAGATATAATCTTTATAGTAATAGTCTTACTACCATTATTCGATTCAGTAAGATCCAGCCAATCATTTTATACCAGATCTTATCGGTTTTAAGTTCTTGCTATCATTTTCGAGAACAAATCTTCCACTTAAACCACTTTTGTTACCTGAATGTAGTTCAAAAAAGGAGCATGACATGACTTACATGTGGGACAGGGGACCTGATCCAAGAAAGTGGGTATTTTTTATTCTTATCGTCATCTATATCGGGCAGTGTCGGCTCCGGACAAGTTATTACTGAAAAGTATATGTTTATCAGACATTTGATACTATGCAGTGACTCAGTGAGCATTTTGGTGATTGTCAAAAGCTATAACTTGCTACAAAAAGATTCGTTTTGTCTTACTTTTGCAGGCGTCCACCCCCTCAGTCCACCCTGCATCGTTCACTTTGTCTCCGTTACCTGGTCTACACTGGATCACCTGAATTACCATTATGTAATAGTGGGAACCTGGTAAGCAGTTTAGAGTAAAAAGTGAAAGTGAAAGGTACTTTCTCTCTCGTCACACGAAAGTTATTTTTATTATTTCTGTTTTCGATGGCAGAGCATTAAGTCAACAATCACATTCTAGTTCCAACCACAAAATCCACCAGATCACAGCCAAATCATTGCCAGTACAGGAACTGACCTGAGGTTCCGGGTTGATCTCGTGGCAGGTGGTGCAGGTGACTGTGACCTTTTCCCCACAGTTACTATGGTTACTACACTGGTTACTATGGTTACTACACAGACGAGGAACTCACCTGAGGTTCCGGGTTGATCTCGTGGCAGGTAGTGCAGGTGACAGTGACCTTCTCCTCACAGTTGTACCACTCCTTGTCTGGAGAGATGATTGTTTGGTCGTTAGGAACAGCCGGTCTCTTACAAGTCTTTTCCTGGGGGAGTCAGGTCAGTCAGCTGTTTCAAGCAATATACTGATACAATTATAAACAAGTTTATTTTTTACGCTTCATGTAATATTTTGTTATTTTTTAAACTAAATTGTAACAATAAAACTTAACGTTAATCATAAGCTCTCTCTGTACCTGACAGGCAGGAACTGATCTGTCCCACATCAGATCGAAAATGAAAGAGAAAGTGAAAGTGAAAGTGAAAGTGAAAGTGAAAGTGAAAGTGAAAGTGAAAGTGAAAGTGAAATTGAAATTGAAAGTGAAAGTGAAAGTGAAAGTGAAAGTATATGTACCTGACAGGCAGGAACTGATCTGTCCCACATCATGTCCTCGTTTCTAGGAGCAGTGCAGGTCTGAGTGTCCTGTTGGGGGACGAAGTAGCAGCAGTCCTGGGGGCTGTAGGTCACGCTCTCCAGGTAGTCGAATACAGTCCGCCCTATAGATAGGTGGTCAAATTAGGGGGTTTAAGTGTACTTCTTATCTACTTGAATCACAACCCCTCATTGTCATGACAACTATTGTCATGGGATATAAAAGAGTGGAACTTCAACCTCTATAGCCGATCTGGAGCACTAAGATTAATCCTCATCGATATTAATCCTCACCGTTAGCATTGTCCACACAGTATTGGTGTGTCTCCTCTTTCTCACACTTGGGATCACTACAGAAACTGCAACCATCCCTGTTCCTCTCGAAGTTTCCAAGGTATGAGTTCTGACAGCAGACCTCACTGAGATTCGGTGAGGAGTTACCCCCATCTTTCTCCTGACAGCAGCACTTGGAGACTTCTCTGATACAAGCCTGGGTTTCTTTGTAAACATTTACTCCTCTCAGACAGTCGTTGGAGGCTCCTGAGAGACAAAGAGATTAGCTGATTACTGAGATACGTTTCAATTCACGTTACTATGCGAGCATCATAAATTGCATGACGCATTAAGAGTACCGACTCCCTATCCTTTATTTGATCTGTTGGTAACCCTAGATATTCGAACAAAGTATAGACCCTGGAATTTTTTGAAGCAAGGGAAAATGAAAGCAAAAGTTAAAGTATCACTATATACCCTGGAACTGTTTGGAGCAGTAGTCCTGCGCGTCCTGCTGACACTGGCTATCCTCACACTCACACCCCTTCTCCACACACTGTGTACACTCCTCATCCTCAGGGTGGGTGCTCCACTCCTTGTGGTACTGAGTGTTGTACGAGGTTAGCTCGCTTCCGTCCGGGAGTTTGTAGTCGTTTGTACCTGAGAGGGAGAGGATGTGAAGGGATCAGTTATAGTTATTACACCAAATGGTCCTAAAATAAAAGATGAAACAGAAAGTGCGATACTGTCCACCCGGATTCCAAAAAAATACTGTGATACCAGTGTGATAGAAAACTTACCGTCATTATCGTAGAACCCACACAGGCCCCCAGTACTCCCGCTGTATTTAGAAAACTTGACCAGTGTCACTGTCAACCTGCTCGTCCCATCAAATGTTACCTGACGATAAAACATGATTAAAAGATTAAAGAGGTTATAAAATTATAATGTTGTAGTCCTGCAGTGAGGGTATATTAGAGGAAACTGTTTTGAGTGATATGATGATGATGCAGATTTCAATGAACTTACCTTATCGGATTTTGTTCGGGCGGACATTGCGTGAACGGACATAATATTGGGTGGTCATAATTATGGACACAAAAATATCTTTGACCGTACATACTAACCCGACTTAAATTTGGGTGGACATTACGTGGACGCTGACCCCTCCAGTGCTCACGTAATTTCCGACCAAACAAAGTTTGATAAGTTAGTACTGGTTACTATGGTTACTACACTGGTTACTATGGTTACTACACTGGTTAATATGGTTACTACACTGGTTACTATGGTTACTACACTGGTTAATATGGTTACTACACTGGTTACTATGGTTACTACACTGGTTACTACACTGGTTACTACACTGGTTACTATGGTTACTACACTGGTTACTACACTGGTTACTAAGGTGGTAAGAAAGAATAACTATTAACTAACGGAGATCTCCTCCTCGCATCCCTTCTTCACACTGGTTACTATGGTTACTACACTGGTTACTATGGTTACTACACTGGTTACTATGGTTACTACACTGGTCACTATGGTTACTACACTGGTTACTAAGGTAATAAGAAAGAATAACTAACGGAGATCTCCTCCTCGCCTCCCCTCTTTAGGGATATAACAACGAGCGGCTCCCTTGGTTCCGTGTCCTGTAGCACGTGTTTAATAGACATGTCAGCACTATCGTGATCTATCTCTGCGGATTTAGTGTTCTGTTAAGTTAAGTTGTTACCTAATCTGTAACCTCTTTCAAAATTCTAAAAAATATTCAGATACGAAAAAGATACAAAAAATAAATAAATAAAAAATAAGCTAACCATCTCTGATCATCTTGTGGCTGTTGACAATAACGACTGGCTCGGGCAGCAAAGTGACAATGTTATCTTGCCATTTGATTCTGTACGCTCCCAAAGTGCACTTATGATAGTATCCTGAGTAGGGGAACTTTGTTATTCTCGTTCTGTTGAAAATCATACAATTTATATATAAATTGTATATATTATATTAAATCATACTCACAGTGTAGTAATTAGTTCTGTCGACTGTGGATTGTCAAATGTAAAGATCACAAATAACATACCAAGATCGCAACCAAACTATAAGCAACTGCACCAGCATAGAATAATGAACCTACTGTACCTTCAATACTGACATCATTATCCTCTGACTTGAAGAGATGGAAGCCACACTTTTCTACCTTTTGTTGGAATAGGGGCACATTGTTGCCATCAAATGTGGTTACTTTGGAGTTGTTACAGGCAGAGGTGTAGGACACACAAGTGGGGGGTGTTTCGTTCTTGTAGTCTGGCGGGGTTATTACACTGGTTACTATGGTTACTGCACTGGTTACTATGGTTACTACACTGGTTACTACACTAATAGGTGTAACAAAAAACACCCAGAATCCCGAATATGTTAAACCTTTAAACGTTAATGTACACTAGAGACTTACAGCCGCAGGCGTGATAGAGCAGCTTGCGAGGAGTTTGCGCCTTGAGAGTAGTCAGTCTGAACTCTCCATTGTCAGTAGGGAGAGTCAGGGGCACTATTGTAGCGCCGTTAACTAACATTGACTTCTGCACTTCCAGGTCCACCCTGGTCAGACTATGGTTACTACACTGGTTACTATTGTTACTACACTAGTTACTAAGGTTGTACTATTGTAGCACCGTTAACTAACATTGACTTCTGCACTTCTAGGTTCACCCTGGTCAGACAGTATGTTGTTAATGATAATTAACAATGAAAAAGCCTCCCTACGTTGAAAAAGCCAGAACTCCCAATTGAAACGTCACCGTTCTCAGGAGATGAACTATCTACAGCTCTCAAGCAGACAAAGGACACGTACGGTCATGACGGAATTCCTTCTCTGCTGTACAAGTGTGTTGACTTGGACACTACTTTACTATCTCTGTTCAACAACATGCTAGCTACTGGTAAAGCCCCGGAAGAGCTTCTTGTCACTGCCATTCTTCCTATACCCAAAGGAGCTAAAAAGTTCTGTCCTGAAAATAGCAGAGGCATCTCCATCCTCCCTGTTGCCACGAAAATCTACAACAGGCTGCTTCTAAACCGAATCAGGAGCCACATAGAACCTCGCCTCCGATACAACCAGAATGGTTTCCGGCCTGGAAGAGGGACTCGTGAACAGATTCTGGCTCTTAGACGTATCATCGAAGAGGTTGTGAACTTCCAGCTTCCTTGTGTCATCTCCTTTATTGACTTCTCAAAGGCCTTTGACTGCATCTTCAGATCGCATCTTCCCGACATCCTGGCTTCTTACGGCTTTCCTAAAAAAATCATAAAAGCCATTATGTCACTCTACATCAACACCAAGGCTAAAATCATGACCCCTGAAGGTATAACCTTAGAATTCCTTACCAACCTCGGAATTCTCCAGGGCGATGTTCTTGCACCTCTCATTTTTATCATCGTCCTGGATTTCATACTAAGACTAGCAATAGGGCCACGTGATGGGTTTAAAGTTGGAAGTAACTACATTGCTGATTTGGACTTCGCCGATGACCTAGCAACAATTACTGACAGCTTCAGCGAAAATGGCCGCCTTTGCCAAAGCATTTCTGACATAGCAGCCCGTTATGGTCTCCTTATTAACATCGGAAAGACCAAATACATGTCCTATAACATCCCGCGACCTGTCAACTCAGACGATAGAGTCTTTATTAACGGCAACCCTTTAGAAGAAGTTCGTGACTTTAAGTACCTAGGATCCTTTATAGCCTCAACAAGCAGAGACATCAATGTCAGGAAAGGCCTCGCATGGAAAGCTTTACAGAGTCTAGATGCTTTTTGGAAATCTAATATGTCCAGGAAGATCAAGACTAAGATTTTTCGAACTGCAGTAGAACCTGTTCTGCTGTATGGTGCAGAAACCTGGACTCTTAAAAAGGCTGATATCAGAGCACTAGACGGTGTTTATACTAGAATGCTACGAAGGGTCTTTGGTATCTCATGGAAATCACATACACCTAACTCCGTTCTTTACGGAAAGATTCCATCGGTGACAGATACTATAAAGACACGAAGACTTCGTTTTGCAGGACATGTCTACCGTCTACAGGACCAACCTGCTCAACAACTCCTTTTCTGGCAACCATCCTATGGCCAGCGTTATCGAGGACGACCACATAAGACCTTCCCGGACGTCCTACTTGAAGACACTGGAATGGAACCTGACCAGCTGCGTTTACTCATGTGTGATAGGGATAAATGGAGAGAAGCGTTGACACGAAACTCGTTCCAGATTTCATCTGGATCGATCTAGGCAGGACGTTGAGCAGGTGCATATTTCAAAATTTTGACGTTAAAAGTTTGACGTTAAAAAATGTTGACGTTAAAATTAAATAAATATTAAAACTAAGTACTTGCTGTTTTGCCTAAGACTCTCAGCTATAACTCCAGCAGCCAGGGCAGCAGCACACAGTGAACCACTGCATGAGGATTTAGCTGTGGTGTCTGTGAAACCTGTGGGGTTAGTTTGTGTCACGTGGTGTGGGTACTCAGGTCTGATTGGTTAGTTTGTGCCACGTGGTGCGAATACTGTGTTTTGATTGGTTTGTTCTACGAGAATGAAATCCTTTTTTTCTTCAGATGAAATGTCTAAATAAAAACCTGCAGCTGGAATATCAGCTCCGGGGGCGAATAGGTCCACACACTCCCCAATGTTAGAGACTGTAGCGTCGTTTTCATCTGTAGCTCCCACTGTAACTACCCCATTTAGTGCTGTTCCTCCCTGGGCACAAAACTTACGTAAATGAAAGTACACTGGTTACTATGGTTACTACACTGGTTACTATAATGGTTACTATAAAGTGTACCTGAGCGGAGGCGGGGTTGGAACTGGTTACTATGGTTACTACACTGGTTACTATGGTTACTATATAGTGTACCTGAGCGGAGGCGGGGGTGGAACTGGTTACTATGGTTACTACACTGGTTACTATGGTTACTATATAGTGTACCTGAGCGGAGGTGGGGTGGAACTGGTTACTATGGTTACTACACTGGTTACTATGGTTACTATATAGTGTACCTGAGCGGAGGCGGGGGTGGAACTGGTTACTATGGTTACTACATTGGTTACTATGGTTACTATATAGTGTACCTGAGCGGAGGCGGGGGTGGAACTAGTTACTATGGTTACTACACTGGTTACTATGGTTACTATAAAGTGTACCTGAGCGGATGTGGGGGTGGAACTGGTTACTATGGTTACTACACTGGTTACTATGGTTACTATATAGTGTACCTGAGCGGAGGCGGGGGTGGAATGACAAGAGTCCAGATCCTCATCGTCACCAGCTCCAGCGACCACTAACACTCCAGAGTTAGAGCCGTAGTTCAGCTCAGTCAGGCTCACTGGGAGGGAGGAGGGTAAATACTTATATATAATTATAGAGGATAACATTTTAAGCATAACTGGTGGAGTAGTAGCGCATTTGATGAATTAATTAGATTAGGATTTTAGGTTTAATTTAATTAAGTAAATTAAGTAAATTAGGTTCTCACCTATCTTAGAGTTGATGTCTTTATGAACCCGGTGAATGGTAAAGCCAGCTAGCACCACAGAACGCCTATCTGACTTCAATATACTCTCTGTGGAGGGTAGGTTTGTTATAGAAACATTATAATAGGGGTAGTGTGGGAAACAAAACCACGATATACTGTCTTTGCGTACAATCCTCCTTAGAAACAAAATCACGATACTGTCTTTGCGTACAATCCTCCATAGGAACAAAACCACGATATTATCTTTGCGTACAATCCTCCATAGAAAAAAAAACCACGATACTATCTTTGCGTACAATCCTCCATAGAAAAAAAACCACGATACTATCTTTGCGTACAATCCTCCTTAGAAATTAAAGTTTAACGCCATCGCAAAATTTTCTCGTTCATGATCAGATCAGTAATGAAATCGGTCATGAATAACAGATCAGCACGTGATAACAACCACGTGACAACCACGTGACAACCACGTGACAACCACGTGACAACCACGTGACAACCACGTGACAACCACGTGACAACCACGTGACAACCACGTGACAACCACGTGACAACCACGTGACAACCACGTGACAACCCCCATGACAACCACGTGACAACACCGTGACAACCCCCATGACAACCACGTGACAACCCCCATGACAACCACGTGACAACCCCCATTAAACGGAACCTCCGTGATAATTACCCTCGATATAAGAGATTCCTCGGAGGATGCTGGCTGCATCAGTGTTCCCATCACAGTCTATAATCTTGACTCCGATGAGTCTAGCGTTCCTTGCGACCCCCATTGTGCGACCTCCCACTAGTGAGGCTAGTACCGTGCCTGCAGAGAGGAAGATGAGGGGTAAGGGGTAAGAGGAGGTGAGGGATGAGGGTTGAGGGATGAGGGTTGAGGGATGAGGGGTAAGGGGTGAGGGGTGAGGGGTGAGGGGTGAGGGGTGAGGGGTGAGGGGTGAGGGGTGAGGGGTGAGGGGTGAGGGGTGAGGGGTGAGGGGTGAGGGGTGAGGGGTGAGGGGTGAGGGGTAAGGGGTGAGGGGTGAGGGGTGAGGGGTGAGGGGTGAGGGGTGAGGGGTGAGGGGTGAGGGGTGAGGGGTGAGGGGTGAGGGGTAAGGGGTGAGGGGTGAGGGGTAAGGGGTGAGGGGTGAGGGGTGAGGGGTGAGGGGTGAGGGGTGAGGGGTGAGGGGTGAGGGGTGAGGGGTGAGGGGTGAGGGGTGAGGGGTGAGAGGTGAGGGGTGAGGGGTGAGGGGTGAGGGGTGAGGGGTGAGGGGTGAGGGGTGAGGGGTGAGGGGTGAGGGGTGAGGGGTGAGGGGTGAGGGGTGAGGGGTGAGGGGTGAGGGGTGAGGGGTGAGGGGTGAGGGGTGAGGGGTGAGGGGTGAGGGGTGAGGGGTGAGGGGTGAGGGGTGAGGGGTGAGGGGTGAGGGGTGAGGGGTGAGGGGTTAATCTATATAACTAGTTTATTGTGCAATTAAACATTGCTTTGGACTGTCATGTTAGGTTTAAGATAATTTGTTTCAACATATTAGAAGTTGACAAAAAAGTTGAATTATTCAGCCAACCACCGGCTGTAATTTTTACACTGCATTTGTCTAGATTAGATTATTTCCAGGTTTATTATGATCCTTATCAAATTATCCTTTCTATCGCGTTCGATAACTAGAGTAAGTGACAGTAAAACTTGTATCACGTGACAGTAAAACTGGTATCACGTGACAGTAAAACTTGTATCACGTGACAGTAAAACTTGTATCACGTGACAGTAAAACTTGTATCACGTGACAGTAAAACTAACCTGACCCCTCACAGTCCGTTTTGTCTCCGTACGCAGAGAACCCGTTACTCGCTCTACTCTCAAACTCTGAGTGGTCTACTTTTATACCCGAACCTGGGGAGAAGGGTTGTTCTGATTGGTTGGTTTGTGTCACGTGGTGTGAATACCGTGTTCTGATTAGGTGATTTGTGTCACGTTGTGTGAATACTGTGTTCTGATTGGTTGGTTTGTGTCACGTGGTGTGAATACTGTGTTCTGATCGTTTTTTGTGTCTTGTGGTGTGAATACTGTGTTCTGATCGGTTGGTTTGTGTCACGTGGTGTAAATACTGTGTTTTGTTTGTGTCATGTGGTGTGAATACTGTATTCTGATCGATTTGTTTGTGTCATGTGGTGTGAATACTGTCTTCTGATTGGTTGGTCTGTGTCACGTGATGTGAATACTGTGTTTTGTTTGTGTCATGTGGTGGCAATACTTACCGAGAATGTAAACGTCCACATCAGCGTTATCTTTATAACTCCCGTCCAAAACTCCGCTCTGCTGGTTCAGTCTGTCCAGGTTCCAGGGAGCTGACCTCTTCAGAATCCTAGATATAATAATTAACATTATGAGAAATAATATATCCTGATATAATCATTAATATTATGAGAAATATTAGTGAAAGAAGAAATTATGATATTTCCGATCAATGTTGAACCCGGAAACAATCACGACTCAATGTGTAAAGCGTCATAGTACAAAAAACACTTAAAGAAGTTGCTTACCGTCCGCCGGTTATCTTTGAAATGGTGCTTGTTGCCATGGTTTCCATTTCATCGATGTAATCTAACAACTCATCTTGTTGCAACAACTGAAATATTTCGTAAACGTCAAAGTAGTTTCTTCAAGAAAATATTAAAAACGACAGGGTAAAAAATGTAATCAGAAATTAAACACAAAATAAACACAAAATTAAAAAACTGCGGAACTCACATGAACGCTATCTTTCTTGGAGATGCCGTGACAGAAAAGCTTTAAAGAGCTTGTAGGACTCGTACACTTCTCGCTCAGCTCGGGTACTCTGTTTAATAGGCTCCACGCGGCCTGGGGTGGGGGTGGAAGTGGTACACGCCAATAACGCACAAAATAACTATAAGCTAGTTGCTGACAGTGACAACCAGATGAGCAGGTTTTATGATCGTGGCCACAGATTTCTTTAAACTTGGTCTATAAAAAAGTGTCGAACTTCCCAAAATCCTACCTAGTACTTGACTTTACTAACCTCTAAAGATTTAGCTTTCAGCTGATAATTGCCCTTGTCTGATTTGTTTTTGAAGGGCACGACTGATAGAGATCCGATTATCAGAGAGCAGATCAAAATAAGATTATACATTTCTCTTCTCACAAAGTTACAAATCACATCTGAACTTTAGAGTGGATGTTAGAGTGTTTAGCTATACAGATCAGACGTTACATCTGGTTACCTGGTTACCTGGTTACCTGGTTACCTGGTTACCTGGTTACCTGGTTACAAATCACATCTAAACTTTAGAGTGGGTGTTAGAGTGTTTAGTTATACAGATCAGAAGTTACATCTGGTTACCTGGTTACCTGGTTACCTGGTTACCTGGTTACCTGGTTACCTGGTTACCTGGTTACCTGGTTACCTGGTTACCTGGTTACCTGGTTACCTGGTTACCTGGTTACCTGGTTACCTGGTTACCTGGTTACCTGGTTACCAGGTTACCTGGTTACCTGGTTACCTGGTTACCTGGTTACCTGGTTACCTGGTTACCTGGTTACCTGGTTACAAATCACATCTAAACTTTAGAGTGGATGTTAGAGTGTTTAGCTATACAGATCAAATGTTGAAAGGTTAAATGGAGAGATACCTAAACTAACTGAGCTTCATCTCGGTGAACAAATAACAATACTTTGTGCCGTAAAACAACAGGCCAGCATAGTTAAGACTGACAAGGCATCTACCAAGATACATCATCTACCAAGCTAAATCTGCGATAAGACCATGCTTCTTAACGAGGAAGAGCATCATTAAATATTAAAATCGCGCGCTCAACAGATGAAAAGTCCATTACTAGTGAGATGAACAGTCCACTACTAGTGAGATGAACAGTCCACTACTAGTGAGATGAACAGTCCACTACTAGTGAGATGAACAGTCCACTACTAGTGAGATGAACAGTCCACTACTAGTGAGATGAACAGTCCACTACTAGTGAGATGAACAGTCCACTACTAGTGAGATGAACAGTCCACTACTAGTGAGATGAACAGTCCACTACTAGTGAGATGAACAGTCCACTACTAGTGAAATGAACAGTCCACTACTAGTGAGATGAACAGTCCACTACTAGTGAGATGAACAGTCCACTACTAGTGAGATGAAAAGTCCACTACTAGTGAGATGAACAGTCCACTACCAGTGAGATGAACAGTCCACTACTAGTGAAATGAAAAGTCCACTACTAATGAGATGAACAGTCCACTACTAGTGAGATGAACAGTCCACTACTAGTGAGATGAACAGTCCACTACTAGTGAGATGAACAGTCCACTACTAGTGAAATGAACAGTCCACTACTAGTGAAATGAACAGTCCACTACTAGTGGGATGAACAGTCCACTACTAGTGAAATGAACAGTCCACTACTAGTGAGATGAACAGTCCACTACTAGTGAGATGAACAGTCCACTACTAGTGAGATGAACAGTCCACTACTAGTGAGATGAACAGTCCACTACTAGTGAGATGAACAGTCCACTACTAGTGAGATGAACAGTCCACTACTAGTGAGATGAACAGTCCACTACTAGTGAGATGAACAGTCCACTACTAGTGAGATGAACAGTCCACTACTAGTGAGATGAACAGTCCACTACTAGTGAGATGAACAGTCCACTACTAGTGAAATGAACAGTCCACTACTAGTGAGATGAACAGTCCACTACTAGTGAGATGAACAGTCGACTACTAGTTGACTAATTGTCACTCCACCGAACGAACAATCCTAAAATGAACTGCATTCATGCGAGCGGCCTGTTATACCGATCAATCTCGAAAGTTCCACTTTTGTTGAATTTTGCGGCAGTCAATTGCAATCCCCCGCCATTGTCGAAGAGGATCACGTGATCTCGCCCCAATGTTGGGATTGGTGGAAGCCATGCATTCCTTTTCGCACCCTAGGCACATGAGCTAGGGGTCAAAGTGTGAAAATTGGGGATAATTATTCAGGAACAGGGGCTCTTTAGTTGTATTCAGGAACTTAAACGTCATCGTCACCTGATTTACCGTGGTATTTATTAATTCTTCTATTTTTCAACGAAAATTCAAGTTTTTAGCGGAGTCCCTAGGATGAGGTCACTCGAAAGTCGGAAGGCTCCGATTATTTGCACTCGAACTCGCTTCTTGAAGTGTTACTTCAGGCCCTAAGTCGGATGGTGGACGATTTAGTAAGCTAGTTAAGTTAACACGTTCTCTTCGTTTAGCTGTACCACTTACCAGGGTACCAGGGTACTAACCTGGTATGGTAACAGCTATTGGACCCCCCACCACTTACCAGGGTACTAACCTGGTATGGTAACAGCTATTGGACCCCCCACCACGTACCAGGGTACTAACCTGGTATGGTAACAGCTATTGGACCCTCCACCACGTACCAGGGTACTAACCTGGTATGGTAACAGCTATTGGACCCCCCACCACGTACCAGGGTACTAACCTGGTATAGTAACAGCTATTGGACCCCCACCACTTACCAGGGTACTAACCTGGTATAGTAACAGCTATTGGACCCCCACCACTTACCAGGGTACTAACCTGGTATGGTAACAGCTATTGGACCCCCACCACTTACCAGGGTACTAACCTGGTATGGTAACAGCTATTGGACCCCCCACCACTTACCAGGGTACTAACCTGGTATGGTAACAGCTATTGGACCCCCCACCACGTACCAGGGTACTAACCTGGTATGGTAACAGCTATTGGACCCCCACCACTTACCAGGGTACTAACCTGGTATGGTAACAGCTATTGGACCCCCCACCACGTACCAGGGTACTAACCTGGTATGGTAACAGCTATTGGACCCCCCACCACGTACCAGGGTACTAACCTGGTATGGTAACAGCTATTGGACCCCCCACCACGTACCAGGGTACTAACCTGGTATGGTAACAGCTATTGGACCCCCCACCACTTACCAGGTTACTAACCTGGTATGGTAACAGCTATTGGACCCCCCACCACGTACCAGGGTACTAACCTGGTATGGTAACAGCTATTGGACCCCCCACCACTTACCAGGGTACTAACCTGGTATGGTAACAGCTATTGGACCCCCCACCACGTACCAGGGTACTAACCTGGTATGGTAACAGCTATTGGACCCCCCACCACTTACCAGGGTACTAACCTGGTATGGTAACAGCTATTGGACCCTCCACCACGTACCAGGGTACTAACCTGGTATGGTAACAGCTATTGGACCCCCCACCACGTACCAGGGTACTAACCTGGTATGGTAACAGCTATTGGACCCCCCACCACTTACCAGGGTACTAACCTGGTATGGTAACAGCTATTGGACCCCCCACCACGTACCAGGGTACTAACCTGGTATGGTAACAGCTATTGGACCCCCACCACTTACCAGGGTACTAACCTGGTATGGTAACAGCTATTGGACCCCCCACCACGTACCAGGGTACTAACCTGGTATGGTAACAGCTATTGGACCCCCCACCACGTACCAGGGTACTAACCTGGTATGGTAACAGCTATTGGACCCCCCACCACGTACCAGGGTACTAACCTGGTATGGTAACAGCTATTGGACCCCCCACCACTTACCAGGTTACTAACCTGGTATGGTAACAGCTATTGGACCCCCCACCACGTACCAGGGTACTAACCTGGTATGGTAACAGCTATTGGACCCCCCACCACGTACCAGGGTACTAACCTGGTATGGTAACAGCTATTGGACCCCCCACCACGTACCAGGGTACTAACCTGGTATGGTAACAGCTATTGGACCCCCCACCACGTACCAGGGTACTAACCTGGTATGGTAACAGCTATTGGACCCCCACCACTTACCAGGGTACTAACCTGGTATGGTAACAGCTATTGGACCCCCCACCACGTACCAGGGTACTAACCTGGTATGGTAACAGCTATTGGACCCCCCACCACGTACCAGGGTACTAACCTGGTATGGTAACAGCTATTGGACCCTCCACCACGTACCAGGGTACTAACCTGGTATGGTAACAGCTATTGGACCCCCCACCACGTACCAGGGTACTAACCTGGTATGGTAACAGCTATTGGACCCCCTCCACGTACCAGGGTACTAACCTGGTATGGTAACAGCTATTGGACCCCCCACCACGTACCAGGGTACTAACCTGGTATGGTAACAGCTATTGGACCCCCCACCACTTACCAGGTTACTAACCTGGTATGGTAACAGCTATTGGACCCCCCACCACGTACCAGGGTACTAACCTGGTATGGTAACAGCTATTGGACCCCCCACCACTTACCAGGGTACTAACCTGGTATGGTAACAGCTATTCTGTCGTTTCCTGAGAAAACGCATTAAGTCCATTTTTTCGAAATTTTGAGATATCGGTACCAAAATTTTCAGGAGAAGATTCTCTACAACTTAAGCTATGAATCAAGTTATGAAAATACTGTTTTAGCTGCCACGAAAGGCATTAAGTCACACAAAACGTAAATATTTAGCTCGTTATCCCAAAACCTTCCCTGAGAAAAGGCATTAAGTCCATTTGTAATGCCTTCTCTGAGGGAACTTTTTCTGTTCCTTGAGATTCCCTGAGAAAAGGCATTAAGTCCAGACTTTATTTGCAGTTTTTATAGTTTTTGGCCTATAACTTCCACAGTTTTAGTTATATCGAAACAATTTTTATGTGGTCGTAATCAGCTCAGCAAGCAACAAATTTTGGTACTAATATTTCAAAATTTAAAGAATTATTATTTTCAAAATTTTTGAACCTGAACACAAGGGTCCCCCCTTGTGTGAATTATTGAAACATTTTTTGAAAAATTTGGTGCTTTAAATATTGTATGTTTAAATATTTCTACCCAAATTAATGCGTCTGACCGAGCTGAATACGATGCTGTAAAAATTATTCCAAAATATTCGATATTTAAGAAGTTATAGGCATTTTGAGCGAAAAAATTATCCATTTTTCGTCAATATTACTTACTTGCAATGCATAGGAGGCCCACATAATTATATTGCAAAGATATGATCAAAAATATAGAAATGTTGTATTTTCTGTGTTGACTTTATCTGAGAAAAAATGGACTTACTGCCTTTCTAGAGAGGAATCGGTTGAAATCGATCCTGATAAAAGGCATTAAGTCCGCAA